GCCGGGGGGGGGGGGGGGGGGGGGGGGGGGGGGGGGGGGGGGGGGGGGGGGGGGGGGGGGGGGGGGGGGGGGGGGGGGGGGGGGGGGGGGGGGGGGGGGGGGGGGGGGGGGGGGGGGGCGGGGGGGGGGGGGGGGGGGGGGGCGGCCCCCCCCCCGCCCGGGTTTTTTTTTTTTTTTTTTTTTTTTTTTTTTTTTGTTTGGGGCCTTTCTGGGGGGGGGCGGGGGGGAAATTTTTTTTTTTTTCAAATTTTTTTTAATACGATCCTAAATAAAATAAACAAATAAATACATGCAAATTGTACACTAAAGGGAAAAAATACATAGATTTAATTAAATAATCATCTTAGAGCGGTAATGTTTGTTCCCTTTATTGTACAAAACTATTGATTTCGTTAATTGAAGAATAAGTCTGCATGCAACTTCACAAGTACTGCTCTAAGCGTTAACAAGCTTATAAATAAATTTAACTTACATTTCCCTCGAGTGTACAATTTCTTTACACACACTTATCACTTAAATTTAAAATAACACATACACAACACATCATTTATGTATTTCCGAATTTAACACTTAAGAAACTAGAAAACACTTTCGAGTGTACATTTTTTGTTGTTTTGTTTTAATTTATATATTTGTATTAACGTTTTGTACTACTAATTTATGTTATAAGTAAATGTAAGATTGATCGAAAGAAAAAAAATCCCCTTGCCACATTAAATATTATGAAAGAGATAAAGCTTACTAACGCCATATTCAAAATGTCATGCAAAGAGAAAACGACAGGGAGTCGTATGTAGTCTGTCTCTTTCAGAAAGAGAGAGAGAGACATTGATACTAAGAAAAAGGGATATAGAAGGAAATATATGTCCCTCTAAATTTACGTCTCCTTTACTTTAGCTGCTATTTTTCACATGAAATTCATATAATTAATTTTTCTTTTACCATTTATATACATTACATGTACATTTAAGTTTTAAAGAGGCTAATTCATAATTCTGTTACAGAGCTAAAATAATTACCTGACTATTCTGGAAATTAGGACCATTCGCTTTTTCTCCTCCCACCACTGTACTGCATGGTAAGGGTTTTGATATTCCGATCGTTACGATGCCTGTAGAATAAAAAGAGAACGTGTCTCACAAACGTGTAATGCATATACAAATACTAGCTTCTGACAATATCGCAAATATATTTACTATAATGAAATCTCCAGTCTCTGTCAATAAACTGTAGATAAGATAAAAATGATAAGTTCTTTGACATAATACTACAGGGGAGAATAATGTTTTTCTTGAAAGAAATATTAATTAACAGTCGTATGTATTTCACGTCAAATTGAATTAAAATATGTAAGATTTCGGCAAAATGACCGGCAAGTTTAGTGGTAACCTCACTTTACTTACATAATTTACAAAGGCCTTCGCAACCAAGTTACAAAAGGACTGTCTAGCTGTTTGTTCGTCGTAATTGGGGACTAGTTCTTGAAGTTTCTCCATCTCAAACGATTCAAACATCATCACGATCCTCGACTAAGCGAGTATTCACTAGCGACAGGACGAGAACTATTTCTGAATTACGAACGAACAGCCCAAAAACGCAATTAGTTTTATAATAATTAAAATGTAAAGACTAGGAACACTCTATCTTCACTGTGTATGTACGTATAAGTTATTACTCATAATAAAGAATATTGTTTTTTATTTTTTATTGGGTAACTCTTTCAAAATCTGATCACCAATATAATACGTTCATAGGTATAGACATAGTATTAACCTTTAGGTGCACTCTTTATAGCAGAGACTGCAACAGCTAACGGCGCCCTGGATATGTCCAGACCGTTGACCGACACCAGCCTGTCCCCTGGAGACAGTCTCCCGTCCAACGCAGCGGCACCACCATTCACCACGGACCGTACCACTATCACTGAGCTGCTGGGTTCTGAAGGATCCTAAAACGTAAGAACATTGCATTGGTATTAGTAAGCTAAGAAATAGTATAAATAGTGCTTTAAAGATTTTTCTCTTTAAATATTACGGGAACACACAAAATAATTAATAGTTCTGTTCTCATTTCAAAGCTGTATAAGTAAGTGGATTTTTTTAATTTGAGTAAGAAATTTAAAATAAATAAAAATTTGTTTTTTACAAACGATGATTAGTTTGCCTTTTTGCAGTTCGATAGAATTACGTTGAAATAACAGTGTTTTACCTGAAAATAAAACACATATTAAATACTTACCTATATTTGAAGCCTACATGATTGAGAGAGGCGCTGTTTTGTTTCCGCTTAGTATATTGACTCTCCAATATTTGCCTTCCGTTTCCGCTCACCAGGTGTCGTGTGCTTCCGGTTGTGTCAACCGAATACCTAGTCTACTTTTTCGATGCACACGCTTTTGCTCTCCATTGCGTCGAAATCATCACCAGGTAGAATTTAAATTGTAGGCTTCAAATATAGGTAAGTATTTAATATGTGTTTTATTTTCAGGTAAAACACTGTTATTAAACACTTGACCGTAATTTGAAGCCTACATGATTGAGACGTGTTTGATATCACCTGGTGACTAGGGACGCCAATGTGAACGATTAGTTACAATTTTATCATAGTTAAGAACACCAAGAACAATTAATGAAAAGAGGCAAAAATACTAGACGACTTATTTATTTGCCTTCTTTAAAAACATAACACTATGTTGTAATCAACTTGTATTATTTCTACATAGTTTACAAATTGGTATTTGTAAGGGTGGAAATAACTTAGAAATATAACCAGCCTAATAAATTCAAATTACCATCTATTTATCCAATCGGAGTAAACATACTTTGAATATTGTGAGATTTTTATCTAGTCTAGCACCACTTCTTTGCAATAAAAACGAGCAAATGTGTTCAGAGATCTCCAAAGTTTTCAGACGAATTTTTAGACGCCACTGCAGAACGTAGGCTGCCCGGTGAAGCCATTATTCCTGCATCAACAAGTAGGGTCTTTATCCAGCCCGCGATAAATGTACGGGAAGCAGCTTTTGGCTTTCTCCTTATGTTTATAAATAAGTTTATTAGGTTTCTTTCTTCTCGTTTCTTCCTTAATAACGTGGTACAATGACCTACCCAGAAGACTGGATCTAAGTTTTTATGAGAATAATTTGCTAACAAGTTCCAGCCGGACTGTCTATAAGTAGCCGTGTCGGTCTTTGGACCAAAGATGGGCTATAATATAACATGGCCATTGCCTTGGTGCATATGTTTTGAATCAGCTGCTAAAAGAGTCAAATCATGAATCCTTCTGCCAGAGTAGAGAATTAGTAATAGAGCTGTATGTCTGCACGATTGAAAAACATTAGCCTCATCTATAGTATAAGATTTAAGAAAAGAAATTATATCAATGTCCCAAATCTGTGGCCTTCTAGTAATCGGTTTTTTTAAAGCGATCGATTTCAATATATGATTTACTAATACATGATTGCTTAACTTTCCAGAATCGTCGGAATTACATAAGGTCGCGACAACGGATTTATGTAAAACAATTGTGTTGTATTTAAATAAAACACTTTAACGGTTCAAAACGCGGGGAGACTCCCCGTGACCACGGCTGCTGCAAAGCATCCGAAACGTCGGGCCGAAGTTAAAAATCATTTTCAAATAAGTTTAACTAATATATCGCGTTTTAAACCGTTAAAGTGTTTTATTTAAATGTGTACTACTCGCGTAAACTATAGACAGTATTTAATTGTGTTGTAAGCCAGACCTTCCACAACATGTGGATCTGCCAGAAATCGAGCTAAAACTTCTCCAGTAGGATGTAAGGGGTTGAGACCTCGGGGTTTATTCCAATTAATCCACCTATTCCATGCGCAGGTCTTTCTGGTGGAATCACGCCAAGAGGTCTTTAAAAGGTTTATCTGTTCTGTATTCTAGTTAATCAAATTTTTTGTCCACCCCCACATTTTCATATTTCCATTGTCATTGTCATGTCACCTGGGGTGAAGCTAATCCTGTTACCGCATCGATGGGGCATAAGTGTAACTTTTTTATTGTATGAGGAGGTGCTACAGCTCGGGCCTTCAAATTCGGCCTCCAAAATACTTTCTCCCATTTTGGTACTATCAAGAGATACATTCCGACTGCCGAGTTCAGGTGTGACCTTCGGAATCAGAAATGGGTGTGAAAATACCCACGCTAGGGGGAAATGCCAATTTCGGGAGAAAGTATCGTGATACAGAGCTTGAGGGTCTTTCAGGTCTAGTGACACATAATTTGCTACCACCTTTGCACACATCGAGGAAAACAAGCTTATCACCGGAACACCGAACTTCACGAAGTTTTTTTTTTTTTTTTTTTTTTTTTTTTTTCGTACACTGAGGCACAAGGTGCCATTCTGGCGGAGTCCGGTGACGCGATAGGTGATCTGCGTGACTTTTGTACTTTCCTGGTATACGATGTATTCTCAGATAAATTTTGTGAGAATAGAGAATTTGATAAATTTGCTTTGTGAACTTCAAAAGAGAAGGAGATCTTGTTCCACCTTCGTTCCTCAGGAAGGCTACAACAGTCTTGTTGTCGCACTGGACTAGTAGCGTTGAGTTGGCTATCCTTGCAACTAGCAATGTGAGTGACTTCAGAATTGCCAACATTTCTTTTGCTTTGCAATGAAGCTTCTGTCCCTTGTTTGTCTATGCTCCACACAGTAAACAATCGTCGATTTGAGCACCCCATGCTATATCTGATGCATCGGTTGTCATGAAGTGTGACGGGAGCGGGTAATGTATTAAGCAGGTTTTCGAAGATTTGCAAGCCACCAAACAAGATCCTCTTTTACCTTTTGAGGAATGACAGTTTCGTGTACGAGCGATTCCTTTAGTTGCCTGTTTAGGAATACAAGAGCATTTCGGAAGTGTAATCTGCCTTGTGTTACAGCAAAGCTGACGAAATTTAACAGTCCTATTAGGCTTTGAAAAGCACTTATTGAAGTTATGCCCAAAATTTCTGAAGCCGTATTGATTTGCTCTCTGGAATCGACTTTTTGTTGAGCCATGGGTTCCAGTGTATGCCTAAAACCACGAGCGATTTCGTTGGAACGGTTATCGACTTTTCCGTGTTGATTCTCCAGACTAAATATTTTAGACGCTCTAATACAATTTGAACCTGCCTGCAGAGTACATTGTAGTCCTGGTGAGCTATCAAGAAATCGTCTAAGCATACTAGTACTCTTATTCCCTCGAAATGTTGCATATTAGTTAAGAGGTTAAGATAATTTTTAAGAGCCGACGGAGTTGTAGGTTCCTTTAGTTTAATCTCGAAATTCATTTTAAATCGATTTTGACTGTCGCTTTAGGAGACGATTCCTGTTCATAACGAGATCTATCACTATTTACCATAATTGAAATTTCGTCATTATCGCGATACTGGTATAAATTGTTTGTTTGTGCAATGCCACAGCCTTCAAACACTTTTTGGCGAAGATCGTTTAGATCCTTGGATAGTTTATATAATATATCATCGTTATTTGAGCCATATTCGCCCCCCTTTTTTTTTTTTTTTTTTTTTTTTTTTTTAAACGCGTCGTCGACGACTACGTTTGTGATCAGACTCCGAGGAAGAAGACGAGGACGACGACGAGACAGATTAAGAGCGCGATTTATTTCGTCGGTTATTTGTATGAGTGCCTGACGGTCCAGACATCGTCTCGTCATTTTTCTCAGTGTTTGTGCCACCCAGTTTGTTAGAGATGCAAAAACGTTGGGAGCCGTGCTGAGACGAAACGGTAAACATGTCATTTCCATTAACTGCCCTTGGTATATCAGTCTTAAAAACTTTCGGTGCGATCTGGCAATCGGCACGTTGAAGTAGGCTTGGGACAAATCCACTTTGCAGAGCCAGTCTCTTGTTTGAAGGAAATCTGGCACTCTAAGAATATTTAGGCTTTGTTTTGACAAATTTGTTTAAGGCTTTTAAGCTAAGGTTCAGAATAGGTCGATCTCTGTCATCGGGCTTTGGTACCAAAAATATTGGTGAAACGAAGCTTGGTGAGGCTGGAACCTGCTTTAAAACCTTCTGAGATAACATCTGGGCAATGGCCGCTGATGTTGTCATTGATTCTAATGTAATCCGTTGATTTTCTGGCATTAAATGTGGCGGTTTGGTTATGAAAGGAATTCGATAACCTTTTATAATATAGATCAGGGGCTGTGGGGCACCTGCACTGGCACTGCTCCCATCGAACCACGTAATGTAGCCCGCTAGAAATTGGTTGTCAGTAATGGCCCCGCTAACTTCCTTTCTTATGGTCAGAAGACACCGGTCTTTTCTTACCTGCAGTGAAAGCTTCGTGTGTAGCATTGCCTGGATGACCGTCTCGTTGACGAAAGGAATTTCGAAAGTTCATCGAGGCACCCCTTGATCTTCATTAAAATCATGTCCCTGCGTGGAACGATAGTAGTTAGAGCCCTGCGTAGGCCTAAAAGTATGAGACTGCGAATTACAGCCATATGCTGGCTCCGTGACACCCTTCGCGGGTGAGTTAATCATAGCCCCTCTGGGAGTGAAATGAGGGATTTTTATTGTATCCGTTTGCGCCACGGTTCGAACTTCGAATTCGAACTACCTGAATACTTGTTCATGGGTAAGAAGGCTTTTCTAGTACCACCAGCTTTTTTAAGCGCCGCAGTCAATTGTTCAGGATTAAAAATATATTTATTTGAGGGTGGTATTTTTCGTAAGGGTTCCCTTACATGCTTCAAAAAGCCGTCCCTACGTAATTCAATCGATTCAGCTCGACGTCCACAGATTATTTGAAGTAAGTCCGATGATACTTTGTAGTATTCACCGTTTGAAAATATTTCAGTTACGTTAGCCAAGAACTGGTCTACTGAAATACTACCGGACTCTTGGGCCCAGTTAACTTATTCTGACATTCGAGATTGAAGCGCGTCTCTTTGTTTGAGGACGGCGAAAGTTAAAGCACCATATGTCTGTCTACCTTAGATAAATTATGATATATATCAAACTATTTTAATTCGTCATTTATTTCTAGGTCAGTGAAGCCCAGTGTACAAATGTAAGACTTTTGAACGGCGTATCTAACGTCGCACCATTCGGATTTATCGAAATGTGCATCCATCCTAATAGAAATAATTATTACTCTACTCACTACCCTTTAGGAAATGATACATTAAGAAAATAAATTCTTAATTTTATAAGCTTTTGCTTTAAAACGTTTGAATACGAACCCCTCAAGCAATAAAACCGTTTATAGGAAGGCTTTAGCGTAAAGTACTACTACTTCTATTCACTGCCACGTTGGCCGAACGGTAACACCGTTAAAATAATACTTTAGAATAAAATATCACTTGAAAAAAAAGCTATAAGAACATAACATTTTGTAATTTTAACACGTGTAAAATATAAGGAATGAAAACTTACTGCTCGACGAAACAGCACACTTCACTTTTTAACACTTTTAATAACTAAGCACAAAAATTTCGGAGAGGTTGCTGGTTCTGAGGGGACAACCTCCTTCTGCGGAAATTTTGACGCCAATGGAGAGCAAAAGCGTGTGCATCGAAAAAGTAGACTAGGTATTCGGTTGACACAACCGGAAGCACACGACACCTGGTGAGCGGAAACGGAAGGCAAATATTGGAGAGTCAATATACTAAGCGGAAACAAAACAGCGCCTCTCTCAATCATGTAGGCTTCAAATTACGGTCAAGTGTTTAATATTGCATTTACTAAAAGTTTACTAATACTCTAAGATACTGTCTGTAGTAATACGCGAGTAGAACACATTCAAATAAGTCACTTTAACGGTTTAAAACGCGATATATATTAGTTAAACTTGTTTGAGAATTATTTTTAACTACGGCCTGAAGTTTCGGATGCTTTGCAGGAGCCGTTGTCAAGGGGAGACTAAAGATGGAGGATGTCAAAATAAAAATTGCTACGCTAGCGCCATCTTTTCCGTCGAAGTTGGTATTTGACGAAACTGGCCGGTTCCTATTTATTGTTTCAAAAAACAGCATACGGGCAAAAGCGAAGACACCGTGAGTCAATTCTGCAAGGAACCGGCCGAAACAAGTTTAACTAAAATATATCGCGTTTTAAACCGTTAAAGTGTTTTATTTAATATCCTCAGATATTATATGACATGTATTTCCTTCCATCAAGTGAAACCCACGCTTACCTGTCGTCTTATATCATAGAATAACTCATACCTGCAAAGCTGGTATCTAAGGTTACATATTTGCATTCCAAATCTTACCAAGTAGTCCAAAATAGAGAACCCAAGCCCCCTCTCCTCTTTGTGCAGCTGGATGTAGTCAACATGGTCGCTCCACATCGCCAGCCAGCTTAGTGGTTCCAAAGACCTGGATCTATTCCGTTCCAACTCGTCTGAACAGAATTCTGAAATTCGGAAAAACTAAAGTAGCATCTCTCTCTAAGCGGTTTATTAATTATTAACTATGACTCGCCAAACTCGCAAAATATAAATGCTGTCTATAGTTTATGCGAGTAGTACACATTTAAATAAAACACTTTAACGGTTTAAAACGCGATATATTCGTTAAACTTATTTGCATTCGCAAAATATAGTTAAACGTGTTGCCTAGCGTTGCGTTAAGCGCGAGAGGTCCTGATTTCGAATCCCATGGAAACAAAAGATTCGTTTCGTTCAGTGAAAAGGAGAACAGAGAGTGTTTGCCCCATGCTCCACTGGAGAGAAATGGGGAATTTACTTTTTACGACTCACAGTTTCTGATAGTTTTATTTAATAAGTGCCTCTTGCCACTTAAATCTTACTTACCATCATGATCATGGCCAGCCGACAGCACAGTGGTCGCGCTGCACAAGGACGCAACTGAACTTTCTGACTTCGCTTTAATCAGTCTTTGAGGTGGAGCAAGCAAGTCTTGAAGGCTGCCTCCTAGTACACCGCTCTGCGAGAAAGATTAAGAACCAGTCAGTATGTGTGTTGACATTTACTTATATTTTTTTTTATATTAAAAACTAATTTAATTATAACGCGTGCAAAGAATGGAACTTTGTGTGTAGCATATTTTATATTACTGTAATAGTCAAAAAGTATTATCTGCAGTTTACGCCATATTTCAATAAAATACTTATAACATTTGAAAACTTTATTTTTTACATGTTATTTGCACATGAAGGCACTATATAATTTAAAAATCGAAAATAAATTGGAAAAAATTTCGACTCGGGCAGGACTTGAACCGGCATCGTCAGCGTTCCGTGCCTGCAAAGTCCTGCACTAGTCGAACATTTTTTCAATTTATTTTCGATTTTAAAATTACACTTAGAACAGTTTAACGCGGATATATTAGCTCTTATTTTTTAATCCTTCCATCAGTGACCACGGCTGCCGCAAAGTATCAAAAAATGTCAGGGCCCATTTAAAATAACTAATATATTTTGCGTTTTAAACCGTCTCAAGTGTTTCAGTCTTTAAAAGTATTTAAAATTCGTAACCTTACTAGTTTAATATTTGTCTTTTAGATTGTTTAAGGAGTTTTCTTTGGCGAGGGAGCAGTATAGCAATTGTATGAACCAAGATCTTTATGGAATTATATAAATGACCATAGAGCAAATAGACAACCACCGGAAATTATTTAAAACGGAGAGGTTTTAAGTGTCGGCTAAAGTGTCGAGGCTTTTGCAAACTTTTTAGTACCGTTTAAATACAGTCCAAAATCCAAATCTAAATGTGAAGGCAGCCATAAGTGAGGCGAGGAGTAGCAATACAGTGGCAATGATAAGTGTCGAAAAATACAGCGACTTAAACCAAAAAAGGGTACTGGTCCAAATGGGGTACTTATGTGCTGATAGAATGCTGCACGGTGCTAGCAGAACCCCTTCGTCATATTTTTAATCTCAGTTTAAAAGAAACCATAGTCCCAGAAGTTTGGAAAAATAGTCGAGTTGTGCCAGTGCCCAAAGGAGGAAATCGTAGTAGAGTGGAAAATTAGAGGCCAGTGACTATTTTGTCATCTCCTGCAAAGGTTATGGAAACGGCTCTCCATAGGTCCATTTACAGCCAAATCTCGCCTTACCTGGCAGATGCTCAACATGGGTTTCGACCAACTAGAAGCACTATAAGCAACCTCTTAAGCTATATGTCAGATGGTGGGGAATGGAATGGGGATGGGGAAGTGGATGCTGCATATTTTGATTCTAAAAAGGCATGGTAGATAATGATATACTTTTTTGAAAAATTTGCTGAAGTAGGTTTTACTGCTCACTTACTGAAACTTATGACAAGTATGTTGACTGATAGGAAACAGTACGTTGAGTATGGCGGCTGTAAATTAAAAGAGTATTTTACCAGGAGTGGTGTTACGCAGGGAAGTAATAGGGGACCTTTGCAGTTTCTATCGATGGTTAATGATTTATCAGGAGTTATGAAAAATGCGAAATGCCTTATTTTTGCTGATGACGTTAAACTCTCGCTGCCCATTAAAAACATGGAGGATTGTACTAGCCTACTGAAGTAGGTGTAGGTGGGCTACCTCTAAAAAGGGTTACGGAGATCAAGGATCTTGGACTCCACCTAAAATCAGACTTATCATTTCGAGACCATATCAAAAATATTTGCAATAAGGCGTTTAGGGCTTTGGGATTTGTATTAAGAATGGCACCTGGATTTAAAAACTATGGTGATTATGACACTATACAATGCTCTGGTTCGGAGTCACCTGGAATGCTGTGCAGCTATCTGGAGCCCACACGAAGCAAAGTATAACTTAATGTTAAAGCGAGTGCAAAATAAATTTACTCGATACATGAGACGGTACGGAGTATACCCTTTTTATCCCCTTATGTACCCGAGCTTATTTGTTCTAGGGATGCTAGGTTATGCTCAGTTAAGGGTTAGACGCGAGTTGGCGCTTGCCACATATTTATTAAGGTGCTTCGGGGCAAGCTACAGCACCCCTACAAAGGCTGTATCTCAGCGTTCCGGGGGGGCAATATGCGACGAAGGAAAGCATTACTGCTAGTACTCCCGCACGAATCTGTTAAAGTATGCACCAGTGATAAGAGCTATAACTATATTGAATGAGGTGGCAATAAAAACTGATTTATTTTGTTGCACGTTGGCTGAGTTCGGAAGGTCAGCATTATGGATAAACTCATTTGAAAGTCGATAGGTAATACTATGATTGTAATCTTCAGAGTTACTTTAAAATGTCTCTTCTTAGTCTTAGTCATTTTCATTGTATTAGTAGTATAAGCTGTAAAGATGAAAATGTAAATAAAATAAAATAAATAAATGAATATTTTTGAATACTCTAACAGTATAAGAAAAAGGTCCCCCACCCTTGCTAAGCTAGGTTCAATTCTGTTGCTTTGTTCACTCCGCTTCCGCACCACGACGAGAAGCACCGGAGACGTCACAGCTCTGAGCCGCGTCACCACTTCGACGTGATGTGCGCCTAGTACTCGCCAGCCGTTCACCTGATGATGAGACAATATGATTATAATTAATTTTCGAAGTGTTTTAAGAGTAATTTTTTGTACGTCTGGTAAATACTGCTCTAAGCTCTTTGGCTAGTATAAAAAAAAATACAAATTGAAATTTTAAAACATGTCAGATACGGTAGGAATCGTACTAACGACCCGTTGATTACTAGCCATATATTGTTAATATTAGACTAATGAGCTCGACATAATGGTAGTATGGAAGTAAAATATAATAATTTTTAATCGCTAGAAGCAAGCAAAATGGAGTTCATTCCTTTAAAGTAGATCTAATAAAACAATTGCTTATTTTCCTTTTAATTCTGAATGGCATACCATAGTGATAGTACAACCATAGTACAATGTCTGTAAAACGTATGTACCACATAACTAAAAAAATATGCAAAACCCACCTCCAACAATTCATCACCAACATGATAGATGCCCAATTTAGCAACAGGCCCATTCGGTGCTATCGCCCTGATGTAGTGCCGCGCTTGGACCTCCTTACCGCCTACGACCCGCACTGTGCCTTCTAAAGAGATGCCTAGGCCGCTGTCTTTCCCTTTTATTATTGAGCCTACCTGAAAATAACCAGACTATGTTTTACATGTTTGTTCGAATGACATAGGAAGCTAGCACATCCGAATTGAATAAGATGTTGCGTCATAAGCGAACAGACGAAGTTAATGGACGAAGCGAAGGAGAAGAACATGGGGTTCCCTTGATGGTAGGTAAAATAGCCCAACCATATATTATGTACACTAGTTGCGGTGTCGATCCATTTTGGCTTTTAATATTCGAAAATCCACAGGCTGAAACCGAAACGCGAATAAACTTGTCGTCTTTTTCATTTATTAGTGGTTCATGATTCGGAATCTCGATATTCCTACCACCCATTGATATATCCAGATTAAGTCCAACAAGTTTCATAAAAATTATACATATATTGGATAGAAAAATGTTGAATCCGGTAGGGATCGAACCCAGTACCTGTTGATTATTACACTAACGAGCCTGTCAATAACTTAAGTAGCGCAATAGTCATTTTCAGATTTTTAGTTACAACTAATGCTAAACTAGTCAATGGTACGACTCACATTTGACTAGGCCAAAACAATGCTTCATTGCTTTTCCATTAAAAAAAAATATCATCAACTGTTCGGGCAATTACACTTACAATAATATCATAATCGTACTGATGTCCAGGCCAGTCCGGTTCGTCTCTCAGAACATCCCGCCACTTATCCTGTATCCTCCTGATCTCTCTTTCCGAAATGTCATCGTCTCTTCCTATCACTATTTCTGCTTCGTCAGATGGCGACGTTGGGGATGGCAGATGTGGTTGTATTTCGGAATCTGCCTCGACTTCTATTACTGTTGATTCATCGTACTGGAATAAGGAAAAATCATTAGTACTGACTGTCTCCGTAGTTTAATGGTTAAAGTAGAGAGATCCTGGGTTCGAATACCCAAAAAAAACGTTAAACTGTTTCGATCTCGTAAAGCGCAGTAGTCTGGTCAACCACCTCCCTTATTTGTTAGTATAATAAAAATATACAAGTCAATACAATTGTATAGAAAGCCATTTACAACAAAATCGTTGCTAGCAGACAATGTAATGTTTTTATTAGTACAATATTTAATATGCCACTTTTTTTATGCTTCATATATAACAAGAAATTAACTAAACACCTATGAGATGTACGATTAACTACTGTTTTCGACTACCGCAGTACATTCATCAATTCATTTTATATAAAAATAACTCATTCTTTTTTAAAATACAAAAATCATTATAAAAGTAATAAAAACTAGATTACAACAATTTTCAAAATTAAATCTCGTCTAAGTTTTTTAATTAATCACCGGTTAGATTGAATACTTATTCCTTCGAAACTCACCACACTAAAGCTGTATTTAGCCAAGGAAGTGACAGAGGGGCTGGGCGGTGGAATTGGGGAACGTTTCCCGTCTTGCGCTGCCAACGCTTTCTGCAGACGTTCAAAACCAGCTCCGCGGAGGTACCTGTAGATTGATTGTGAAGATTTGAGAAAACGATGTTTACTTAAACACAAATTGTTTAATGCGATGAGCAACCCAGGGAAATTATGAATAGTATCGGTCTCGTACAGGATTATTTTTTGTCGATTCTTCGATTAGGGAAAACAAACAGACTGAAAAAATAAATTAATTATAGAATTAGTGATTGATCAGTCGGTTTCAGGTGACAAAAAAGGCCTCACCATCAGCACAGTAGAGCACAAGGCGCTAACTGATTTTCAGGTGGACCCTAAAATTGTTGCCGTATGACGTCTCAAAGCAACAAATATACAAGTAAATAAGAATTTTCATATGAAAAGTTTTTTTAAAGAACGATTTACAGAAATAATTTTTAAAAATAAAATAAATGTATTTGATTAGTATTGCTATAAAGGTGGTATTTATAGCTTAATAGTTAAACAGTAGATAAGTTAAATACGTGAAGTATTGAGATTCGAATTTCAGTGAGAAAAAAAAATATTTCGGTCGGGCGGGGCACATATTCGAGCGGGATAGATAAATGTTTCCATAAAAATTTTCTCTCTCAATAATTTTCCATAACAGAAAGTTTTGTTATATTCAAGTTAATAGAAAAGTAAATAGCATTCACCTCAAAGCCTTTAGTTTAACGATGGGGCCCTTAGCATCTCGCAATAAAGCAACAGCTCGGTGATTCGTCACTCCGTGCAGCGACACTCCGTCCACCTATAACGAGGTAAACACAGGTACGGATTATTGTATCTAGGAGCCCTACGGAGCCTTTAATTTACACACAGTTTCAAGGCCTATGAACTATGAACTAAATTGTTTCATAACATACTATTGATTGGTAGTCTTTAGAAGTATGTTTGTATTATTATTAGCACTTTTATACAAAATTAAGCGGCACTATCTAAATTAAAAATCGATTGGTATTAAAACAATTTGGTGATATTCGCGGGCTGTGGATGTCGGTTCACGTCCCGTCCGTCGCGTCAAAAGTAAACTTATAATTTTTCACATGTTATTACATTGTTACATACGTTGCCATTACATTAAAAATTTATTTGTATTGAAAAATGCACGGTTCGGTTTAAGTTCCGTTGAGTCCTTTTTTTTAACGAAAATAGATTTAAAAATCGAAAATAAATTGAAAAAATTTTCGACTCGGGCAGGACTTGAACCGGCATCGTCAGCTTTCCGTGCTGTTGCTCTACCAATTGAGCTACCGAGTCCTACACCTCATCGTCGAATTTTTTCAACTTATTGATACATGCACCTCTCGCGCAATGTAATTTCTACCTTAACACTTGCGTATTAAGGCTCAATGTCTTATGCTTTGCAGCTTAAGAAATCATTGAAGATGAAATTACAAAGTTATAACGTTTGAAAACATTAATATTTTTCACATGTTATTGCACATGAAGGCACTATATAATTTAAAAATCGAAAATAAATTGAAAAAATTTTCGACTCGGGCAGGACTTGAACCGGCATCGTCAGCTTTCCGTGCTGTTGCTCTACCAATTGAGCTACCGAGTCCTACACCTCATCGTCGAATTTTTTCAACTTATTGATACATGGACCTCTCGCGCAATGTAATTTCTACCTTAACACTTGCGTATTAAGGCTCAATGTCTTATGCTTTGCAGCTTAAGAAATCATTGAAGATGAAATTACAAAGTTATAACGTTTGAAAACATTAATATTTTTCACATGTTATTGCACATGAAGGCACTATATAATTTAAAAAATCGAAAATAAATTGAAAAAATTTTCGACTCGGGCAGGACTTGAACCGGCATCGTCAGCTTTCCGTGCTGTTGCTCTACCAATTGAGCTACCGAGTCCTACACCTCATCGTCGAATTTTTTCAACTTATTGATACATGCACCTCTCGGCAATGTAATTTCTACCTTAAACTTGCGTATTATGGCTAAGTTTTGCTTTGCAGCTTAAGAAATATTGAAGATGAAATTACAAAGTTATAACGTTTGAAAACATTAATATTTTTCACATGTTTTGCACATGAAGGCACTATATAATTTAAAAATCGAAAATAAATTGAAAAAAATTTTCGACTCGGGCAGGACTTGAACCGGCATCGTCAGCTTTCCGTGCTGTTGCTCTACCAATTGAGCTACCGAGTCCTACACCTCATCGTCGAATTTTTTCAACTTATTGATACATGACCTCTCGCGCAATGTAATTTCTACCTTAACACTTGCGTATTAAGGCTCAAGTCTTATGCTTTGCAGCTTAAGAAATCATTGAAGATGAAATTACTAAGTTATAACGTTTGAAAACATTAATATTTTTCACATGTTATTGCACATGAAGGCACTATATAATTTAAAAATCGAAAATAAATTGAAAAAATTTTCGACTCGGGCAGGACTTGAACCGGCATCGTCAGCTTTCCGTGCTGTTGCTCTACCAATTGAGCTACCGAGTCCTACACCTATCGTCGAATTTTTTCAACTTATTGAACAGCACCTCTCGCGCAATGTAATTTCTACCTTAACACTTGCGTATTAAGGCTCAATGTCTTATGCTTTGCAGCTTAAGAAATCATTGAAGATGAAATTACAAAGTTATAACGTTTGAAAACATTAATATTTTTCACATGTTATTGCACATGAAGGCACTATATAATTTAAAAATCGAAAATAAATTGAAAAATTTTCGACTCGGGCAGGACTTGAACCGGCATCGTCAGCTTTCCGTGCTGTTGCTCTACCAATTGAGCTACCGAGTCCTACACCTCATCGTCGAATTTTTTCAACTTATTGATACAGGCACCTCTCGCGCAATGTAATTTCTACCTTAACACTTGCGTATTAAGGCTCAATGTCTTATGGTTTGCAGCTTAAGAAATCATTGAAGATGAAATTACAAAGTTATAACGTTTGAAAACATTAATATTTTTCACATGTTATTGCACATGAAGGCACTATATAATTTAAAAATCGAAAATAAATTGAAAAAATTTTCGACTCGGGCAGGACTTGAACCGGCATCGTCAGCTTTCCGTGTGTTGCTTACCAATTGAGTACCGAGTCCTACACCTCATCGTCGAATTTTTTCAACTTATTGATACATGGACCTCTCGCGCAATGTAATTTCTACCTTAACACTTGCGTATTAAGGCTCAATGTCTTATGCTTTGCAGTTAAGAAATCAGAAGATGAAATTACAAAGTTATAACGTTTGAAAACATTAATATTTTTCACATGTTATTGCACATGAAGGCACTATATAATTTAAAAATCGAAAATAAATTGAAAAAATTTTCGACTCGGGCAGGACTTGAACCGGCATCGTCAGCTTTCCGTGCTGTTGCTCTACCAATTGAGCTACCGAGTCCTACACCTCATCGTCGAATTTTTTCAACTTATTGATACAGACCTCTGGAATGTAATTTCTACCTTAACACTTGCGTATTAAGGCTCAATGTCTTATGCTTTGCAGCTTAAGAAATCATTGAAGATGAAATTACAAAGTTATAACGTTTGAAAACATTAATATTTTTCACATGTTATTGCACATGAAGGCACTATATAATTTAAAAATCGAAAATAAATTGAAAAAAATTTTCGACTCGGGCAGGACTTGAACCGGCATCGTCAGCTTTCCGTGCTGTTGCTCTACCAATTGAGCTACCGAGTCCTACACCTCATCGTCGAATTTTTTCAACTTATTGATACATGCACCTCTCGCGAATGTAATTTCTACCTTAACACTTGCGTATTAAGGCTCAATGTCTTATGCTTTGCAGTTAAGAAATCATTGAAGAGAAATTACAAAGTTATAACGTTTGAAAACATTAATATTTTTCACATGTTATTGCACATGAAGGCACTATATAATTTAAAAATCGAAAATAAATTGAAAAAATTTTCGACTCGGGCAGGACTTGAACCGGCATCGTCAGCTTTCCGTGCTGTTGCTCTACCAATTGAGCTACTGAGTCCTACACCTCATCGTCGAATTTTTTCAACTTATTGATACATGCACCTCTCGCGCAATGTAATTTCTACCTTAACACTTGCGTATTAAGGCTCAATGTCTTATGCTTTGCAGCTTAAGAAATCATTGAAGATGAAATTACAAAGTTATAACGTTTGAAAACATTAATATTTTTCACATGTTATTGCACATGAAGGCACTATATAATTTAAAAATCGAAAATAAATTGAAAAAATTTTCGACTCGGGCAGGACTTGAACCGGCATCGTCAGCTTTCCGTGCTGTTGCTCTACCAATTGAGCTACCGAGTCCTACACCTCATCGTCGAATTTTTTCAACTTATTGATACATGCACCTCTTCGCGCAATGTAATTTCTACCTTAACACTTGCGTATTAAGGCTCAATGTCTTATGCTTTGCAGCTTAAGAAATCATTGAAGATGAAATTACAAAGTTATAACGTTTGAAAACATTAATATTTTTCACATGTTATTGCACATGAAGGCACTATATAATTTAAAAAATCGAAAATAAATTGAAAAAATTTTCGACTCGGGCAGGACTTGAACCGGCATCGTCAGCTTTCCGTGCTGTTGCTCTACCAATTGAGCTACCGAGTCCTACACCTCATCGTCGAATTTTTTCAACTTATTGATACATGCACCTCTCGCGCAATGTAATTTCTACCTTAACACTTGCGTATTAAGGCTCAATGTCTTATGCTTTGCAGCTTAAGAAATCATTGAAGATGAAATTACAAAGTTATAACGTTTGAAAACATTAATATTTTTCACATGTTATTGCACATGAAGGCACTATATAATTTAAAAATCGAAAATAAATTGAAAAAATTTTCGACTCGGGCAGGACTTGAACCGGCATCGTCAGCTTTCCGTGCTGTTGCTCTACCAATTGAGCTACCGAGTCCTACACCTCATCGTCGAATTTTTTCAACTTATTGAAAGCACCTCTCGCGCAATGTAATTTCTACCTTAACACTTGCGTATTAAGGCTCAATGTCTTATGCTTTGCAGCTTAAGAAATCAATGAAGATGAAATTACAAAGTTATAACGTTTGAAAACATTAATATTTTTCACATGTTATTGCACATGAAGGCACTATATAATTTAAAAATCGAAAATAAATTGAAAAAATTTTCGACTCGGGCAGGACTTGAACCGGCATCGTCAGCTTTCCGTGCTGTTGCTCTACCAATTGAGCTACCGAGTCCTACACCTCATCGTCGAATTTTTTCAACTTATTGATAAGACCCTCGCGCAATGTAATTTCTACCTTAACACTTGCGTATTAAGGCTCAATGTCTTATGCTTTGCAGCTTAAGAAATCATTGAAGAAGAAATTACAAAGTTATAACGTTTGAAAACATTAATATTTTTCACATGTTATTGCACATGAAGGCACTATATAATTTAAAAATCGAAAATAAATTGAAAAAATTTTCGACTCGGGCAGGACTTGAACCGGCATCGTCAGCTTTCCGTGGTGTTGCTCTACCAATTGAGCTACCGAGTCCTACACCTCATCGTCGAATTTTTTCAACTTATTGAACATGCACCTCTTCGCGCAATGTAATTTCTACCTTAACACTTGCGATTAAGGTCAAGTTTATGTTTGCAGTTAAGAAATCATTGAAGATGAAATTACAGTTAAGTTTGAAAACATTAATATTTTTCACATGTTATTGCACATGAAGGCACTATATAATTTAAAGATCGAAAATAAATTGAAAAAATTTTCGACTTCGGGCAGGACTTGAACCGGCATCGTCAGCTTTCCGTGCTGTTGCTCTACCAATTGAGTACCGAGTCCTACACCTCATCGTCGAATTTTTTCAACTTATTGATAAGCACCTCTCGCGAATGTTGCTTGCCTTAATACGCAGTTTGGTAGAAATTACATTGCGCGAGAGGTGCATGTATCAATAAGTTGAAAAAATTCGACGATGAGGTGTAGGACTCGGTAGCTCAATTGGTAGAGCAACAGCACGGAAAGCTGACGATGCCGGTTCAAGTCCTGCCCGAGTCGAAAATTTTTTCAATTTATTTTCGATTTTTAAATTATATAGTGCCTTCATGTGCAATAACATGTGAAAAATATTAATGTTTTCAAACGAAAATAGATTTTTATTTTAGACATAATAATGTCTAAATCAAAAATTGTAATAATAAGTCAAAAATTGAAAAATCGGAGACATCAAAATCAAACATAATATGTACTGTAGCGAAGCCCTTTTCACTGGCATAGTGACATTCCGATTAAATTGTGCCAATATACAACATTGTACAATTGTTGTCTAAATTGTCCATTTCGTGAGGGCCCTAAAATGTAGGCCCCAGAATGGAAAGTCAGAAAAGTCGGGAATACAATAGTGAATGCTACGCTAACGATGCAGTTTAGTGAATAACTCGTAAAACAAAGCACAAGATTTTTCAGCCATCTCGACGTTCTCGCTGAAATTTATTTACTCGAGTGATACTTTTAAATGAATATTTTATAACTCCACTTTTCAAGATTTTAAAGAGAAATTATTCATACAGTAACTGTCAACGGATAGCTGCGTAGTAATTTAAAACTAATTCAAGTTTCATAACTTCGTAGTATCTTTGAAAGAAAGTAAAGGAAAAAGAGAACGTTATCTTACTTTCTTATTTATTTAGCTAGATAAAAATAGTTGAACGCTACATATGTACCGATCTATATGGACTTAAAATAAACCTATACTATAAATATGTTACATTAAAGTTACTCTTTTATTCAAAAACTACATGACAGATTTAAATATCGAAAATAAATTGAAAACAATTTCGACTCGGGCAGGACTTGAACCGGCATCATTAGCGTTCCGTGCTGTTGCTCTAACGCTGATGATGCCGGTTCAATTCCTGCCCGAGTTGAAATTTTTAAAATTTATTTTCGATTTTTAATTTAAGTGCCTTCATGTGCAATAACATGTGTAAAATATTAATGTTTTCAAACATTCATAACAGATATTATTGAAGTTTAACAGTATTGACATACGTGCGAAGACGATGTGTCCATTAATATAAAAAAATGGTAATAAGCGGCTTTTATTTCCTTGTAAAGTAATGAGTAAAAATAATTCGTAAAATAAAGATTATTCGTGAAAATTAATAAGATCGCTAAGCTTGAAATGAATGCGATTCAAGGGTTTTCAGGTTGTAAAATTCTGAAGTCGGTTGTCAGTAGATTTAAAATTGGATTACTTTAAATTTAAGAAGCTTCGTAATAAGGCTTATTCTTAGCAGAGTAAGCTGTTAATTTTTTTTTCATTAAAATACGAACACCAAACATTTTATTCTCAAAACTATTTTGTAAAGTTTAAACCTATTTTACAAAGGTTGGCCAAAATACAGATAAATCCTTTATTTAGTTTATTTATATTAAATCCTTTATACGATCCAAAACGCGGCAAGATTTGGTTATTTTTTTACTATGACCAACGTTTTGGGTCCTTTTCAGCAGCCGTGGTAACCGTCAGAATAATTGTTAAACTACTCAACCAAACGACTGATATATGAGATAAAAAATCGCACTAGCTTTATGCATTTATTTCACATACAGGTAAAGATAATTGTTGTTTTTATTTAAAAGACGAGGCTTGCAACCGTTTTTTTAGTTTGTGTTTTGCCTCAATACGTCGATATAAATAAACAATATTTACACTTTATTATTTCATATAGGTTATGAAATAATAAACTAATAATCGTTAATAGTCATAGTTTAAGTAAGATGTTTTGTAAGATTTATTTATCTCATAACATCGAAAATGAAATAAATAAATATATTAACTTATGGAATAATACAACTCACGATTGGCGATTGGAAAATCTCGAAGTTATCACCGCAAACACGTTCCCACTCAAATAGAGACGAATCGAATGTTTTCACAAATCTAGCGGATTACAATTCCCCGTACTGCGTCATTCCTCTAAATCGGTTTGGCTGTTTATGAAACTGGTGTTCGCGCGGTAATTCATTTTTATTATAACTGCGAGCACGCGGTAATATAGCTTTTATAAGATTTTACGAGTTCTCATTATCTATCGGGCTGATTGAGGCCAGTGGTAATAATCAATTTCCTTTAAAAATTAACACATCAGTAATTCTAGGTATGATGGGGCAGATGCCCCCTGATATTCTTGACTTGCCCCTCTCTCAAGTCAGAAGCTGAGAACACCGATAGTAAATGCAAGCTAAGTTGAGAAACGACTTTAACAAAGACAATATTAACGTCTTTTAAATGTCTTATACGACGTGGTTTAGAAAAATAAACTACACATAAAACCACTTACTAAGCTAATTTTTTTTTAATGTTACCTACAAAATTGTCAAATGCTGTAAACAATTTTAAAGTAATTATTGTATAATTCCTTGATAATCACTAAAGGTACAATAAAAAAAACAAAACTAAGATGTACTTAGGTATAGTCTGTAGTCTACCGTAGTAGTACATATATTTTAAATAAAACACTATTAACACTTGCCCCCCCAAAAAAAAATTTGGAAAAAAAAAGGGGGGGGGGAAAAAAAAAAAAAAAAAAAAAAAAAAAAAAAAATTTTTGGGTTTTAAAACAAATAAAATTTTTTTTTTTAAAAAAAAATTATTTTTTGTTAACAAGTCTCGGTTGTAATTTTTTCTTGTCCACTGTGCAATTAGGTGTAAATAAATAATAAATATTTTACTTCCATATGCTCTGAATAAAGCAATATCTATGTTTTTAATCAATCGAGATTCATCAAACATTACCGACGGAAAACAACGAGTTCTTTTCAATTAAAATATATTGTCGACGTTTCCCAGTCATTTGTCGTGACCCATTTTTATTACAAAGCTTTCATTGTTGGGCTGAGAGCAATTCAATACTGCATTGCGCATTTATCTATTACTGAAGGATATATACCCACTTACTAAATACTGTTCTACCAATAACGGTGCTCTCTTTGATTCGACAATTGAAAAGCTTATTTTCTGGCAAAAAAAAGCTTAATAGACGCCGAATGCAAAATACTATGTTTGTTTATTTTTTTTATTAGTATGTTTACAATATAGTTATAAGAAGAGTATAGAAAAAACCCAATTGTTGGTTGAGAACAACGATCGATAAGAAATTAGAGTTAAGACTTTTGAAAACTATATTTTTGACATGTTAGTTAGTTAATAATCTATTTATAAAACACAATGAATGTGTCAATTGGTTAAAGGTAAACACGGTAGCACCATTGGTTAGAACAGCTGCACGGAACGCTATGGATGCCGTTTTAAGTCCCGCCCGTGTCCCTATATTTTTCAAAGGAATGACTTTCTCTTTATAATTCTCTTATATAAATATTTGTTTATGTTTTCTATATTTGCCTAAATTCGTTACTTAAAACTTCTGTACGTCAATTAAGTTACATTAATGTTTTTGTCGCTTACTTAGATGGGCATTGTTTTTACTAATAGTAACTTATTCTTTATTTCGTGACCCCATATGGCTGCTGCACAGCATCCGAAAGGTAGTGCCTAAGTTAATGTCATTTAAAATAAGTTGGTATTTGAAACCGTTAAAAGTGTTTTATTTCGGACATACAAAAACATCTATATTCAATATGACAAGAAACCGCCTCTGTAGGCAAATAGTTGTCTGTTGGGGTGAACGTGAGAAGTCCGGGGTTCTAATTATTCCATGGAAACAATAGCTTGTTTCGATCGGCCAGACGTAAAACCGAGTATATATATAAGACAGTGAATCGGACGCAGAAATGTGTTCGCCCCACGCTCCACGAAGGAAAACGGAATTTCACTTTTATGAATAAGAAAAGCCTTTGCGTAAAACGTATATCGGTCAAATCGTATTAAAACTATCTCAACACGACCTCATTTCCGAGGCGTCGCCATTTTAAAGCGTACATTAAAAATGCAGATTTATTCGTGTAGCCTTTGAATAATTTGCGGTCGTGGCTTTTTTTTGTGCCTCGCTGAATGCGAGTATTCAATACGCTTTTAATATTCGCAAGTGCGGCTTGATGGTCTGGTGTCTACTATGAGAATGTAGAGTAACAAAGGTTCGCTTTAACAAATTAATATCATTCGTCTAAGGACGCACTGTTGCTCCAAATGCATTAGCAGCAGAGTAAGAAACAGTTGCAGCAGAAATATGAATATAGTTTTTATTAATAATAATATGCAACTTTACTGACCTCAACAATTCTGTCATTAACTTGAATCCTGCCACAGACGTCGGCTGCGCTGCCTTCGCTTATGCTCTTCACGAAAATCCCGCTCAGCTCCTCTGAATAAAGAAAAACGAAAATACTTAACTTAAATAACTAACTACTACTGTTCAAACGTCAAATTTAGTGACAAATATCCTAGATAAAATAAATCGTGCTTAGAAATGTCTCAAATATTTATACACTTTTTTGAGCTCCGTTAAATTTATCTTCGTGGTTGGCTTCAATAACTATTTAGCTGACACATTGAAAGCATTCAGAAGTTTTTTGCACTACCACAAAACGTCGTAGTGTTTCCGTATTACTCAAAGAATTCTAATAATACAATATTGTGATTAGCAATTAATGTCGTATTACTCAAACTGAAATACGAGAGTGGGATATATTTTCATGAATCTATTAAAAGTAGCCCCATTAACGCAATTAACGGAGAAATTAAGAGGAAAAGGTACTTAACTAAATTAGTTGGTGGTTCAAGGCACGACACAAAGCTTTTGCTAAATAGTGGCGTAATTTAAAAGTTGTTGTTATTTTTATTTATATCCTAACGGAAAGCTGAATGTATTTTTATAACCTAAACAATACAATTAAAGTCTTTTAACGATTTGAAACATGAAATGTAATAATAATAAAAATATTTCTTTAGCCTAGCCATAGACTTTACATTGGATAGTAAAAAGTAAATTCCCTAATTGGTTTGGCGTTTCCTGAAAATGTTTTGTTCAAATGTGTACTAATCGCGTGAACTACACGGAACACTTAGTTTAAACTTTATCAAGTTTAAACTCAATAGTTTTTTTATGCGATAAGTGTAGTGAAATGATATTTTCCATTTATTGATAGATTTTAGTTATAGATTGGTAGTTGAAAAACGTTTGCCAAGCCGAAATAATACCAATATCATTGCACAGACAATAAGAGGAAGAACTATTAAAATAAAATGTAAAATTTGGTTTTAATTTTAAATTCGCGATACCGTTTCACTTGTACCATACGTCAATATCTTCGGCGTTTCCTGGCCTTGTTTATGTAAGACTTATATCGCGAAAATATATTGTTTACTTTGCAAGATAAATTTGTCGCTTCTGCCTCACTTATCATGATTGTACGGTGTTTTCATCCTTGGAACATAAGTTTTTTTTTGTGGAAAAGGTTTAAATAAGGCAATATATTACGTATTACAATATTAGAATAAAATAAATTTTAAGATATTTGACAGTGTTGGGGCTGGATCAGTAATCGGGTGGTATTTCTATAGGCATGTCTAACACACGAATAAGTGACAAAAAGACAAAAACGTACTAACTAGTAGTACTAAGTCAGGAATCAATCTGTATTGAGGCATTTTTGTAAATTAAATAATCTTCTTCTTCTTCTATATTAAAATTAATCTTTCAGTTAGTTGTTATTTGTTGTGAAAAGTGTGTTGAATGAGTCAAGTAAATTCTTAATGTAGTTTTATACATGTGTGATGAAAAAAAAGTCAAAAATAAATAACAAGGGCGAGTCGAGAACCCATTTCTAAGAGTTTACCGTTAGCTCCACCTGAGCACACTTGACACAAGTGAGCATCTCTTATGCATTATATTGATGGAAATTATTTTATACCTATAGCGTAACGTATTTTGACAGTGTTAATGGTAAAGGGTTGAAGTCCCGTCTTTATTCTAAAACAATTGGTTCAAATATATTTTAAAAATATCTTACCTTGTTCGCAAACGTACCCCGCGACGGTAATACCCAGACCCAACGCGGAGTCCTTGTTCAACTCGACTTCGTAGCTCAAGGTTTCGGGTTCACATCCGCGCACCGCCATATCCAAGGGCAATCTGGACCCAATTTAGTCGTAGACATCAAATATAGGATAGAACTAATATTTTCGGCCTATCGTAATGAGTGATGCTAAAGGAGTGAGCTGGAGTCTTTATTTTGTATTTTTTTTTCTAGTGATTGTTATATTCTATCTTGGCAACACGCTTAACCATTTAGCTACACAGGAGTTTTGAAACGGACACAGAAATGTGTTTGCTCCATGCCCCAAGAGGGAAGACGGAATTTCACACTTTTGATTAGTGATAATTATGTTCAAGATATATGTTTAAGCGTGTTGCCTATTATTGCGTTAAGGGCGAGAAGTCCTGGGTTCAAATCCAGGAGAAACAATAGAATATCTCAGTCGGACAGGGCACAGAATTCTTATGAACTACTTGGCCGTAAAAGAGCCATTCAGTGAAACGGACACATAAATATTTTGTCCCATGCCCCACGAGGGGAAGAAGGTTTTCACTTTTTTTTAATATATCTTTCATGAGCTTACCAGTACAGGAACTGAGTCTGTACTTTACTAAAAATAAATCATTTCTGTATATCGAAACAAAAGTATCACTTGCTAGCTAAAGCTATATCCAATGGACCATAATAAATAATAAAATGATAAACTTACCTAAGTGGTGGGGGTTGTCTGGGTGGGGGCAGAGTAATGAGCGGAGGAGGCCGTGGTGATGGTGCCAGGGCCTCTCGTGGCACCACCGCTACTATGGATGCTACCGGCTGACAACAAAATGTACTAAATATACACTTTTGGGGTACGTACTACTTAAAAGACTTATAAGTGTGATGGACTGACAGATACAAAGTTTGTCTGCACTTTACACAAATAGCACCCATTAAAAAAACAGCCGTAACATCGCAGTTACAAATAAGTCAACTATTACACTTCGGGTTTTAAACCGTTGAAAGCGTTGTATTTATCAACATGATTTTATTTGTTACAAATAAACTTGATAGCTTTTTGTTTACTAGTATTATTTACAACTCGCGAAGGATTGAATTATAAATCAAAACAATAGGATTAGATTATCTATAGTAAATACTTTATTTGTTAATATTTTTTGTTCATATATTTTTAACGACTTTAATATATTTTAAATACATTTTACTGATGACATAAAAATAAAACAAGTAAGAATAAGATTTTAATGAAAAGATCTATAGTATCTCTCTGTAGATTTTAATCATATTTGGACTAGCAACTGACTCTTACCCTGTGATGGTAAGTTTCCTCAATGATGGTGGGTGGCGGTGAAGGTGGACTGGCGTCTTCGCATAACGCACCAAATCCATCATGGCCGGCCTCAGATAGGCTCCGTTCTAGCTCTATTGGGTCCGTGAGTAAGCGAGATGGCACTATTGGCGCTTGAGACGCACCGAGGGACTGTAAAAACATTAATTAGACGGTAATTTTTAATTTTCTTTTTTTAGTACCCATGTATAACCATAATATAAGTAACAATTCCATCTATTACTTTCAACCAATCGACCGGACTATTTGTTTAACACCTACAAGTGATATGCGGAAACGTCAAGTAACACTTGTGGCTTTAGTATGGTCGATAAAGTGGCTTTGACGTTGGTTTGATTGACGACAAGTTGTTTTTTTTTAAAGGGTAGGAATTTCTGGTGGTAGGACAGACTCGTGCCTGGCGGGTCCACTCTGGTTTTAATAGTAAAATGGTAGTTCAAATTATGGGTTCCTGGCTCTATGTCGAACTTTATTCGTTTCCAAAAGTAATCTGTTTAGATTCACCCGATGCGTATTTATTATTTTGTGTTTATTTATTTTGAACGATTTAGATAGTATGTTGTACCGTACAAAGGGCCGTTTATTTTAAGTAGGTATTCTATTGAGTCATCCGTCATATAGAATGCCGACTTTTTAGTATGTAATGCCAATTTATATTTCAATTTTTTAATGGTTCGTTAGTCAACGATTATGATCAACGAGTGAATTCAATTCCTACCGGGTTACAATTTTAAATAAAAAGAAAATTTATCTAGATTTCTCGAAATTTCTGAATGTCAAAAGCGAATATTTGTCGACAGAGAATCTTGTTCTAATATCGTATGGGTGGAGTATTTCACGTTGCATAGAGGGAGCCTCTTGCCTGCCTATCCTCCTGTATTATAACTAGACTTGCAACGAATATTCGGTTACTATTCGGTATTCGGCCTATTCGGCTGCTTTTATTATATTCGGCCGAATACCGAATATCTACATATTATTCGGCCGAATAACGAATACTTAAATAATATATTTTGTCATAGAGAAATAATTGGTAAAATAAAAAATTAAAATCGATTGATTACGTATATATTCATATTTTTATTTCTGTTATAGTCATTGGTACATAATACAGGTACATAATCATCTTCTGAATTGGAAAAATGGAGGAATCTATGTATTTGAATTATCGTGGTAATCAAAATTTAGAAGGGTAAGGTTCTCATTTCTTTCATAATCATTTATGAAGTAGTCGTTGGTACATGAAACAGGTACATAATTTAATCATTTTCTGTATTAAACAAGTTAAGAATCTTTCAATGCATTTGAATTATTTTCATAATCAAAATTTAGAAGGGGAAGGTTATGGTGCAGAAAGACTAACTTTTCTGCATTTTTAGGAAGTAGTTTACTTCTTTTTTTCTCGTAGACCATCCCAGCTTCAGAGAAAAGGCGCTCTGAATAAACACTACTTCCTGGCGCCGACAAATATTTTGCTGCAATCTTACTCAAACACGGAAATTCAAATTTCCTTGCTTGCCACCATGTATACGGGTTGTCATGACGTGATATATTACTAATATTTAAAAAAAGATCCATTTCTGTTGAAATTGCATTTTTTTCTGTTGATGTGTTTCCAGAAGCTGTGTTTTTTTCTGCTATCAGCTCTTCGAAGCAATCCATAAAAGTTGACTGAATAGTCTGATTTAGACTTTTCTCTTCAGTTCTCATCCTCTTGGCCAAAGTAGGGGACGAACTCGGGCTATCGTCGCTTGTTTCTTCACAGCTCATTATTATGCTATCGATTAATACATACTGCTTCACTTTTTCTTTTTGCAGTTGATTGGTGAAAACATTCATTTTAAACCTTGGATCGAGAAAGGTAGCAACTAAATGATTTTTACTCGTTGTTATGTCTTCAAATCGTTCTTGTAACCCTTGTTGTATGACGAGTATTGCCTGGCTTAATTTGAGTGTTAGCTCTTTTGACGTGCTCATTTTATTGTAATATCGCATTAAGGTAGCAACATACGGAATAATTTCAGAAATGCAAGCGAAGCCGGAACTTGTAAGTTTTGTTATCTCCTCAAATGGCTGCAATAATTTCAAAAGATGCTCCAAAAGCTCCCACTGTGCAGCAGTCAAATTGGCAATATGACAGTCCGTCAGATAGACAGAAATGGCTCGTTTTTGTTGCATTAGCCTTTCGAGCATATAATATGTAGAGTTCCAACGCGTGCTAACATCTTGGACTAATTCATGTTGAGGAAGACCCAAATCATTTTGGATAGAATGCAGTTTTTCTTGTGCAGTCCCAGAATGATTAAAATGAGTTACGATTTTTCTACCTGTGGTTATCATTTGAGTCACATCTAACTGAACCTTTACACAATCATTTACAATCAATTGAATAGTATGAATGAAACAACGTGCTGAGGCCAACTCTGCATCACTAACAGCTTTTACTATGTTTCGTCCATTATCATGAATAACTATATGAATTTTTTTACGGATGTCCCACAAATTTGCAATTTCTTGTAAACTCATAGCTATATTCATTGCTGTGTGTTGTCCCTCAAAATGCTTGATGCTCAATACTACATGTTTGAAGTTGAATTGGCGGTCAATAAAATGTGCAGTAAAACTTAAAAAACTGTTATGATTATGCAAGCACGTCCACATGTCGGTCGTTACGGAAATATAATCGGTCTCTGAGAGTAAACTTTTAATTTTCTCAACCACTTTACGATAAATTTCTGGAATCACATTGTCTGAAAAGTAAGGACGACTTGGTATATTGTACCGCGGCAAAGCACTATTAATCAGTCTTCTAAAACCAGCCCTTTCTACTATATTTACTGCCTCATTATCAAGTGCAATCATTTCAGCAATTAACACATGGTACTTTTTTGCCTTGGGGTCATTAATATCCCATAGTTTATTAATTTCTGCACATTTTTCAAGAGTTAATTGTTTTTTTGACGTTGAAGGTTTATTACTTACATTCGTATCTTGATTTGTAGTTTCTTGCCCCTTAGGGAACGTGGGTACCAATTTATAATATTCTTTATTGTGCTTATTTTTTAAATGATTTAACATTCCCGATGTTGTCGCCTTTCTTCCAATGCCACCACGAGAAATTTTTATTTCGCACAGTTTACACACGGTACTTTTTGGGTCATTTACATCATCCTCGAAGTATGCCCATATAGGCGATTTTTTTTTAAAGGCCATAATCGATTTTTGATTATTAAAGTACGTTCGTAATTATGTAATTGTTTATTTGTTAAATTTAACACTATCACACTTACAAACAGATCAAAACTAAGAGAGCACAATAAACTGTACTTAACGTAATACGATATCCACGGAATAAACTTGTCGAAACATGTAGTGCGTTAGCAATATACCGCGCAGAGCAACAGCGGGCGCGCGGGCGATGAGTAGGTACGTTAGAACAAAACAAAGGAGCGCGAAACAATCACGTCTGTACAAGTTTTTGGAGCAAAAATCCAGCCGAATACTTTTGCCTAATATTCGGCTATTCGGTCAGGGGTCTCGCCGAATATTCGGTATTCGGTATACTGCCGAATATACTATTCGTTGCAAGTCTAATTATAACAAACAAACATATAAACGATTCACTATGACTTTCGAATGCTAATGCTTTTTTGTTATCTTTGGTCAAAAGATTTGACTATGTGCTGAACTGAATACCAAAACAAGTTATTTATTCTTGGTACTCGTTGCGAAACTACATGTATACATGTTTTTTTGGAGTTGAAACTATTTAGGAATTTCAAAAAAAAATCCGCGATTTAAACCGTTGAAAGTGTGTTATTTAAAAGTATAAAAAGTTCCCTCTCGGTATTTATCTGGAAGCAGGTGGTGGGGCTACGGAAATTTCTCCCTGTCAGCGGGAAACGAGGAGCAGTCGATTAATTAAGTAATATCCGATGAAACTGAGGCTGATGTCTGGCACAGAAAGGATTAAACCAGTTGGGATGCAATGAAATTACCACTACGCCTACAAGCTTTTTTATGCTACAAAGATTTAATTTTAGCATTTAAATCGTAGTATAAGTCTTGAATTGCCGCCTTCGTGGCTGCAAGATTAAAAAACATTGCATTGGCACCTGGAATTACTTAGGTTCGAGTCCGCGGAGCAAAGAAGCTCGATCGAAAATAAAGAGGATCTGTGAAACAGACACAAAACATAATTATGTTTGTCCCATACCCCAAAAAGAAGAGGAATCGGAATTTTATTTTTATAAGCCTTATTTCATCAATATTTCAGATGCATTAACATTATGGCGCGAGAGCTTTTATAAGTTTAAAATATAATTTTAGATTAAACAACTATATGACCGTAAATAAGCTTTGCCCGTTATTTTACTAAAACTTGTGTTTTAGTATGCTACGTGTTGAAATGAAAACCGTAATATTCTCTTCTTTACAAAAAACTGTTCATTCTAAATTAGATTATTGGCTAAGCAGTAAGCAATCAAATTACTTCCTAGATTTTTAAAACATTTATAACTATAGAATTATAATAAAGTTGTTAAGTGTCCAACTGTTGGTCTTAATCTGTAGTCGGTATGACGCTGATAAATTGAGCGTATCAATCAATATATTGTTGTGTTTATTGGTGCGATTACTTGTAGTTAATTTGTGGCTAACAACAGAGGATAACCAGTTTATTTGCGATTTAACGATAAGGGATACTAAATTTTAGGAAATTGGAACACACGCGCGCCTAGATAACATAAAGGTAACAATCAATACAATCTTCCGGGTTTATTTTAGCCCCGTTCACGAAATTAAATTGAGTTGAATTATAAAACAAAAACATGTGCCAAGACATTGTGTTGTAGTAAAATCAGTAAAATCAGTTAAGTTATATTATTTTAGGTTTAAACTTTAAACAGATACATTTACTTTTATTAATTGTAATATATATCTGTGTCTGCAGTTTATGCGAGTAGCACACATTTAAATAAAACACTTTTAACGGTTTAAAAGGCAGAATGTATTAGGTAACGTTAAGTGTAGAAGGATGGAGGGTGTGTCAAATGTCAGAGTCAAAAATCTGCTACGCTAACGCCATCTGGTTACACGTAGTTGATATTTGGACAAATTAGGTCCTTACAGAACTGACTAACTGTGTCTAATCGTTTCTCAGCAAAAACGGTAACCGAAAAGTCGTAAGCCGTAGTTAAAACCAATTGTAAATAAGTAAAGTAATACATTTCGCGTTTTAAACCGTTAGACATGTTTTTTTATATGATATATTACATAATATATGTTTTTCACGACCACAAGACGTATAAGAAACAGCTAGTAAAAGTTTACCTGCAAGCAAAACAATGAGGATTAAAGACATCACTTTTACAAATTGTCTGATACAATATCAACGTTAAAAGCTTCATTAACCTGAGAAAATATTTCATAAGCTCGTAACCAAGGAAGGTAATTAATTAAAATGATGATAGCATTCCTGTAATAGGCGTACGTTGATCAATAAGCATCTCTTAATTGCTTTGCGTCAGCTACGCCCGTGCCGGGAAATTTCCATACGGTCAGCAAAAATCGCTTTTTAATATAGATCGGAATCTAGTTGGCGCGATATAACTTCGTTAACGGCGAGGGTAAATTTGTTTGCGATACTCTTTCGCGTGGAAAATCTGATTAATTTATCATTACTATCTATGCCCGCGACTTCGTCTTCGTGTAGTAGCTATTTTGAGTATCACATGATTTAGTTTTGCCAACAACCTCCTCAATGTAAAATTATAGCTGTACCCATAAGGTTATCGTTGATCTTAAACATTTTTTATTCATTAAAAAAGGATAATTCTTCTATGTATTTACACTTTTTTGGTTTTCACAGCGCACGCAACAAAGGCTCTGAAAGATGAATTATTTTTCTCCTATTTTCACATTTCTTCGCTCCTATCTTCGAGCCTGATGTTTTATAGCCCAAAGCCTTTATAAATTATAGCTATATATACAGACATTAACGCGTTGAAACAAACAAACTTAGCTTTATAATATTAGTTTTGATTTTAAAGAGAATTTTATTAATTTTATAAATGTTAATTTTACTTTCTACCTTTGTTCTACTCTAAACTATTGTTCCCGCAATTAATATTTAATTGTTAACTTTTCGTTTACTATAAAGCTTATACTAAAGTAAACCTTCTGTAGGCTCTAGCCTTTGTTAACTGAACGCGGTCCTTCGAGAAAAGCTTTGTTCGTCGTAGCTAGTTAAAAAACTCGTAGCAGAACATTGCTACGCGTAGACCTTCGTAACAAAATAAAATATGTTTCCCTTTTGATTCTTTATCTATTTAATAATATATAATATTATGTAAGTAAGTGGTTTTATTTTTTAATAAGACAATTACTTAAATACTGTCTGTAGTTTACGCGAGTAGTACACATATGAACTATGGCCTTATCGCTAAACAGCGATCTCTCCCAGGCAACCTGTAGTGAAGATAAAAACGAAAAAGAGGACTATGGGTAGGTGGTGTATCATAAAGACATCATAAAAACCGTTTTAAACCCTTAGTGTTTTATTTAAATAAAACAATTACTTGTTTACCTATATATATAATGAGCTCCCAAAAGCGACTTAATAAATTGAATAAAAAATAAGCATGCACGTTTTTATGATACACCACCTACCCATAGTCCTCTTTTTCGTTTTTTCTTCACTACAGGTTGCCTGGGAGAGATCGCTGTTAAGCGAAAAGGCTATTGTTCATAAGTTTTTGTATTAATAAAAATCCTGGTGTTTATAATTAATAAAGTTATGTCAAAAAATAAAATAAGATATATTTATAAAGACAGAGAGAAACGTAATAATACCACAATTACTATACAATTACAATATTTTATCTTCATTGCAAAAGTAGAAGGAGTAATGGATGGTATCAGAGAAATTTAATCGTAATTTCAATCAGGCAGATAAGAGCAAGACCGATCACTTACTTGGCTGTAATTAAAACCCACTCACTGATACCGGTCATGGAAATTTTTAATAAGCCAGTTTCGCCAAATACCAACTGCGACGTTACAGATGGCGCTAGCGTAGTAGGTTTTTACTTTAACATTAGAAACACCCTCCATCTTTAGTCTCCCCCTGACCTCAGCTGCTGCATAGCAACCAAAACGTCGGTCCGTAGTTAAAATTACTTGTAAATAAGTTTAACTAATATATTTTGCGTTTTAAACCGTTAAAGTGTTATATTAAAAAGTACTATATAAGACAATATTGTAGTTAATCTATGACTTACCGCTTGCATGCTATGTGCTGGCCTGGCGACCAGCAACCGCACGCATGCACCGCATTGCCGCAACACGGCCGCCGCCTGTCGTGCGCACATGCCCACCACCGACACCGCGCCGATGCGCAGGAGCATGTCTCCGCTGCGTAGGCGCCCATCCTGACAAAGGATACCACAATTGCTATAAAAGGATCAAAACATTAAACTCTACTAAAACGTTTTTCTAGCCTATTGTTTCCGATCTCTTAAAAGATGAATGCGGTCTTCTCATTTCTTCTACGGGAAACAACAAATACACTATTTCCCTTGATGTTTAGAGTGCCTCGGAAACAATCAAAATACCCCTTAATTTAAAATGTGTGTATACATTGCATTGCATCTCGTATATGTACTTGCTTTGTTTACGAATCGAAAGTTGTTAAAGGGAACGTAAACACTTCTATTTTAGTGTAGAACTGTGTCCGTTTTCAGCGTTCTCTACGCAACTTTCTGCTTTCTGTACGTTAACTCGTAAATGTCTTATTGTTAATTTTGGAGGAATATGGTTCTTGCCATGTGTCGTAAAGATTTAAGAGGGGTTAATCTTGTTGTTTCGTGCTAAGCTATCTAACCAAGATCGGGTGTTTTTTTACGTTTCCATAACGGCAACCAATTACTATAATAGGTCCATCCATCCATCAAAAATAGACATTATAATAATCAATCTATTGTAACACAATCCTTGATTCGTTCGACTGTTCGTTTGTTCGATCCAGGATTCGAACCCGACAATTCACGGTGTCGAGTGTGTTAATCACTAGACCACGAGTAATTTAAGAACTTTAGGATAATACTTATGAATTTATAGCCCGATCAATTCATGGGCGTGCACATTAGATTGAAGCAGACATTCATGATGACAAACTGTTCTAATACACGAGTTATTAACAAAATGGTGGGCGCGTCGATGCGGCGTCTGTGTGTCGTCGACCTTACTATTGGAGTTTAATTTTTAATGCTGTAATTGTTAATCGATCTAATAGCAATTCTAAAGTTTAGATTTTTGTCTGTAGAAATTTAAGGACTCAAAGTAAGGACTACGCGTTAAAGTCTTTTAGGGGATCTACCTAATTATTATCTTTAAGCATTTCTCGGACATTTTTTATGGTAGAGGAGGACTTGTCTATAAGTGTGGGATTCACTTGATGGTAGATGAAATAGGCCATCATCTAAACTAGATGCGCTATCGACCTATTTTGGCTACGGATATTTGGAAATCCACAGACTGAAACCGAAACACCATTAATCTTGAAGACTTTCATCTGACGGAATTCTGATATTCCCGCCATCCATTTAATATCTAGATTTTTAACATGCTTCAGAAAAACTATAATTAGAAGCACGTTGGACGGGTGAAGATCGAACTCAAGATCGGTCGATTATTAGCTATACATTGGAACCATTATCAACGAGCCCGTCAACTTAGCCGAAACGGCGAGACCCACATCCCAATAAAACCCAAACATCTTTCTATTTGTATACCTAAATAGCCATTAAAAAGTTTAGTCAATTCATCAACTAAGAAATTAGTGATAATCTAAAGTTATGAAGTTTCATTAAGAAAAGAAAAACCGCAAAAGACAATTAGAAAGTTCCGAACCCCTTATAATGTCAATTGAAGTTCTGAACTTTGCGCTTCGCTTATTATCCGCGATAGCCTTGGAAAATTAACGGTCCTTTTTATGTTTGATATTTGATGTCTGTTACATGTCTGTAAAATTTTTGCATACATATATGTATATTACATTTCGTTTATTATGTATACACGGAGAGGTACTTAATTTTTAATTTGAGTTTTCGTACCGTATTAAAAATATACTATTTATTGATAATCTGTGCTACTGTTTAAAATAATTCTAGTTCCGTTTAGTTTAGTGGCTATATCACTTTAAAGCGATTAAATATATCCAAATCAATCAAGCTATTGAGGTCTGAAAAAGTAGCAAACATTATTATTAGTATTAATTTTCTAGATATAGCTTCATTTGTAATTCAGTTACTAGTAAATAGTAGGTATAAAGATCTACTAGAAGTCGTCGAACGAATTAATCAACCTCGATGCAAAGTGTAATTTGCTTTGCAGATTTGAACACCGCACTCCAAGCTTTGTTGATCTTTTTAGAGTAGATCAAAGTAAGTGACCTTACTTCTAGTCTAATCTAGTCTCTTAATGGTAGAGTGAATTGTTCTTTTAGCCATTGATCTAAAGTCCAAACAACCAATTTCGGTAGTATACTTTTACATTTTTCCTTTTATTACGACAAAGGGGGGAAATATTTTTTTATACCTACGGGTTTATTGGCTTAGGGTCTTTAAAACAAACATTTAGCCTTCATTAAAAGTAAAAAACCTCAGTCAAGTGACATCTAAACAAAATGTGCTGTCGGCCTATCATCTACAGATTGAACAGAAGCGCGATTCAAAATTCACGCATTTTCATTTGCATGCGGAATTTCCTCCTAATTCAATATCCGGATTGTTCATATGAAGTTCCGTACGCTTCAGAAAAAAAATATTTTTTTTGATATGACAAATATGTTGGATCCCGTGGGAATCGAAATCACAACTTATCGAATTAGCCATACAAATTAGTCCAACTAACCTATCACATGTAATTTGTAAGTGGGTAAATGTTTTTTAAAAGTCAATAATTAGCACTAACCCTGTCAGCCACGCCGCCCGGCAAGACGCTCTTGACAACGACCCCGGAGGAGCGCCCCCCCACGATGCCGAACGCGAGCCCGGACCCGTCGTTCACCAGCTCCACCACCTCCACTTGGGCCCACTCGCCGAACACCTGCTGTACGGACAAACGTTAACATTAAGCCTTACTTTTTTGCTCTAATATATTTCCCGTTTACCTTAAAGGTTTAAAAATTTATTGTATAATTTATTTTTAACTATGACCAGTAATAGTAATAATACTTGTCCTTTCGTGATAGCTATTGTAAAATAATCGAAACGTCGGTTAAAAATTTTATATTGGGGGTATATATTTTTTTATAAAATAACATATAAATATAAGCCCGCAAATCTTGACCTTCCTATTAATTTCTGGTGCTGCTTTTCTACCGCTACATTATTTTGTATTTCCACCTGCCATTATTTTTTCTGTAAAAATAAAATAAAGAGGATCGATTTTCATGGAAAATTTGTTTGCTTCCAGATCTATACGTTGTTATCTAGCAAGACCATGTATTATTAGTATTTCCGCAAATAATCTAAAAAGAGTTTCAGGGTAATCTTTATCGACCTGTGTTTTTCTCTTTTCGCCCAGTCGTGAAATAAATATGTATGATTCTATTATTATGATAATCAAATCGTGTAATCCGTTGTTTTGTTCAATCCACAGTTTTACGTTCTGTTTGTTTTCAGACGACGGTCGTTTTCCCTGAGGATCGTAAAAGTCGAGCTGAGATTGAAATAGGTATCAAGTTAAAAGCGGGTAGTCTTGTCTACCTATAACATTACATGGATAAGAACCGTAGGCTAATGGTCAAACTTGTTGCTTTAACCCGGATAGGTGCTGAGTTGAACGTCGACAAAATATATTTTTTGCTTTTAAACTCATACATATTATTAATTTGCCTAAAAATAAAATCATCCAGTGAAACTGAAAAAAAAATTCTCTCCCGTTACCTCACGGGGGAAAAGTGAAGTTCACTTTGTTAGAAGTAGAATTTTGAAAATAGAAGAAATTTGAAATCCACAACTAAAATACTAAGTTTTGCTTACATATACAAATTATAGGCTGTACGTAATATAACCTATTCCGGTATGCACTTTCCAGTGAAGGAATACGGCGTTAGAAAACTGGGATGTCCTGACCTAAAAATGCGCTGTGTGTAATCTGCCAACATGCATTTCGCCTGCAGCAGCAGCACCATAAAAAACCCTGACCTGATAAATCTTGATAAAACTTACCATGATGCGTCTAACCAAACGTTTCTTGGGCGTGCGCGGCTGACCCTTCGATCAGCTAACTTTCTCCATCTCTCCAGTTCACTTCGCACTTTGACACACTCTTGCGCACTTCTTTCACTTTACTTTATCACACGTGTAGGGCATTGCTAAGGGCAGGATCTATTAGGGAGAATCATCAAAAATATAATATAAATAACTCAAGCTGTTGGAAAAACGCTGCCAGCTATAGTGGAAATCTGTAGAATTACCCCTATTACTACCACATAAACTAGCTTATTTAAGAAACAGCAGCAAATCAAACCCAAAAAACGACCATATTGTTTTATTTCATTAATTTTTTTTTGTAACAATATAACTTGAGACGGACAATTTAACCCAAACTCGCAGGGTCAAGGAAAGTAAAAAAATCCGCAGCGTATAAAAAATATATACAATTGTATATAGGTATTTAATCAAATACAATCTAAATTTAGCCTTGTACCATCCAAGTACATTAATATGTATCGATTTAGGTCATTCAAGGCACGACGAAGCAAGAGAAGAATAATGAATTCGAGTCAGGCGTGCTCCCGTGGTTCAAGCTATTAAGTAACTTACATACAACGCTGCAGAATACGTAATACTGGATTGAGATGTCTGAAAGTGCATATGGACATTTACTACCAATGTTTGTAAGCAATTAATGAGAGCAATATGAAAGAATCATGGAGAAATGTATATGCAGTATGCTTACCACGATATTAGAGAATACTTTTGGTACAAAACGAGGTCGGGAACAAGAAGATAGGAAATAAGAATTCCCGAATACCTTTTCAAATCTAACGGAAATTCAGTGACAGACAAATCTATTAATTTAAAATTAATTAATTAATGTCCTAGTATGTGTACACAAACCCGAAAATAGTAAAATAACCTTGTTGCGTAGGATCCACAGATTACTGGAACTTAAAAAAGTTGAATAGGTTAAAAACGCAGGACGCTATCATAAAGACCTATATCGTATGTATGTACATATCTCCTTACCTGCCTAAGTAACTATTTCTTACATACACAATTAAATATTGAAAAATACCAGAATCCTATAAAACACATTAAAGCACGGTTACAATAATCTTATCAATGAAACGTTGCATTGTAACAAAACAATGAATTAATGTGAAACGAATCTTAAAGAATTCAATAACTTGCGTTAATTATCTACGTAATCTTATAGGAAAATATCATAAGTAACATTAATATTATTGTTTTTTATTGCCATAATTTAAGTTCTTAATCATAATAATAAGAAAAAGATAATATGTTAATAACAAATAAAAGATGGAAGGATCAAACCGAAGGAAAGATAATGAAATTCCAAAAGCACTAAGCAACGTCACATACCAACTTCTTTGCTATGTAAAAACTGTTTTAACACATTATAATAACACTATTGTTGTTAATGTAGCATAGTGATATCATCAATATTATGCAAATGTTTCCTAAGTGTCGAATAAACGTTCGCCTCGCGCGAAGGGCGCCACGGTACTACCGAAAAATCAAAAATGAAACCCGGAATGGCGCGAAACTAGACATGCGCTTTGGGAAATCGATGCTACGGATTCAAAAACGCGCCCTATTTAAAGAAGTTGTCTATTGTTTTTTGTTTTTAGTCTATGATTAGAGACTGTGTTATTTCTAATTTAGTTATTCTTTTTGAATGTTCGACCATAGATACGCACTGCGTTGTTTTATCTGTTTATTAAAAGGTGTTTCATTAGAATATGTAAAAGAAAATAACAGGGACGCACAGTTATTATACTAAATAAAAAATAAAAAAGACAGCTCGTGAGGGATTTGAACCCCCGACCTCCTCTTTACAAATTAGATGGGTGCTCTAACCGCTGAGCTAACGAACCAATATTGCTATTTATAAATTAATCTAAAGTATTTAAATCAATGCAGTAATTGCATTTTGAACGATCTACTCCATTCTCTTGCCTGTTATTTAACAAAAATATTATATATAAGAATTAGATAATTACAAATAATTCTAGGTTAGGTAACATTTCAGACACTATGGATTGACCTGTTTTATATGTATATATTTTTAGACAGCAAACCGATGAATCCAATTAAAATATGCTGTAGCCGAAACCTAAAAATACTGCTAAATCAATTTACGTATTACCGGTATTACATATTATATGGTCATCGAGAGCTTTCATATAATCGCTCTTATTACAATAAGTTTGGTAAAATAACTCTAAACATAAAAAATCAGTAGAAAACATTTTCAATAGGATTAGCACATTAATATCATGTATTAGTTATTTTGCGTGCAAAGTTGCAGGAAAAAAGCCACGAATAATAAATGACAATACATACGTGAGACGAGGAAAAGTATGTTACATTTAATAAAGTGCTTAAGTACAGACTATGTCATTAAAAATAAATTATTATAACATGTGTTTTTTTTTTTGTTTTTTAACTATTTTCCGGCGGCGTTATTAAAGGACCTACCTTTAGTTAGATATGTTATTGCAAATGAATCAAAACTTTTTGGGGCCCAAAAAGTTTTGATTCATTCTCTGCAAAATATTTTTTATACTACTAAACTTTAGTTGTAAGCTTATGTTCAAATAATAGTGACATCATTAAGTTTAATGACGTCATACAATAGGGAGAAGTACAAGTCGCAAATAAAGCAATGATTAACGTAGGCTCGTTAGCTCAGCGGTTAGAGCACCCACTTAAATTGTAACAGAGGAGGTCGGGGGTTCAAATCCCTCACGAGCTGAACTTTTATTTTTTTTTTCACTCAAAGCTGTTAAGTTATATTGATGGCGTTTATTCTGAGTAGTACAAATTTTTGATCAAGGGGCCTTGTTTTTCTCTGTAATTTTTTTTGCGATTCGACGAAGATAATAAAAATTCGCATTTTTACACTTTAAATCTTCACATACTAAAAGGTTACTTAAACTAAAACGTCTTGAATTACTATTTGTTCGTGTTTATATTTATGAACTAGTGTTATATACATCTCGTACATGTACAAATAATATATATTTAGATCAGAATTTGTTAATGTAGCCTCGAATGAATGAATAAAATAAAACCCAACCGAATAATTTCATATTATTAATTTATTTGTAATTAATACATATGGTAGCTCACAGCGACTACGAATCTAATGGAAGATAACATATGCTATACGTTGGATTTTGTAATGAAAATCAGTTTAGTTAATAACAAAATTATGTGTTTGTAACTTATCCACTTCAATGTTCAATATGCTAAAACGAAAGTATGAAACTGTACTTGGACATGAAAGAGGCCTTCGTGGGCCAAAAAATAATCACTGTAATTTCTAAGTCAAAATAAATCCAACGCACACCACATTACAGTATTGAATTATACCTAAAGCATACAACAATTTTGTATCCATAGACCAATTGACAACGGCCCGGGCTTGTGAAAATATCAACTATACAACTGTTTCAGAATACTGCTGTTTTCACTCATCTTCGATTTTTATGACCGGGAGCATAAAAGCATCTAAAGAATATGTATATATGTGGTGTCGACCTATTTTGGCTTTGGACGTTCGGAAATCCACGGACTGAACAGAAACACGATTACACTTTTCGGCATTGCCATCTGTGGTGGCTCGAAATCCGATATTCGAAATTCCAACATGTTTCAGAAAACATGATTTTAGAAAGATTTGATAGTTCAGCTGTAAGTTACTACCATTGAGCACAATATCTTTGCTATTGCAGCGTTAAATTACAGTTTAGTTTGTTACGATAATGTCAAAGTAATCTATGGTGTAGGCATTTTTCAGTTCTTCAAGTGGCATATCATCTTACTCATTCTGACGAATAAAGAGCAAGACGGCAGCATTCGAAACAGATTGGCACCATTTAAATCGGTGGGTACCGCGGGCCGAAGACAATGGCGGTTCAAATAACATCGATAATTTCAGTTTAACAAAAATGTCATCTCCCAGCCAGATTACACTTTTACCTACTTAGTCACGATAGATGCAACCGTACACCATACAAATGTTAGCCGGGGGGAACCACGTGACTTGGCTTTCAATATCAAAATAAAAAGACCGCCGTAATCGAGGAATGGTTCTCGATGTGATAAAATCACCATCTTGCGCGGGAGATGTCAGTTTAGATCCAACTCGTCTATTCAGCAACCCCAAGTAGCATTACAAAATAGCCTTATACAATTGAAAAAAAAAAAGTGTTGGTGTATTTAAAGACAGTAGTGTCTCCGGTGGGAGAAATTTCAAACTCTTAGTCCTATTTATAATCTATGGTTTAATAGTGTTAGTGTAATACTAAGTCCATAAATCAGTAGGAATTATACCTTTTATAAGTAGATTAAATAAAGCCAAGTCACGCAACTCCACCTAACCACGAAAATAACACTTAGTATCTATGAAAAATTACATTAAATACACTTTCATTTAGCAACAGATCATTCGTGTCTACATAATTTCCTTCACTATTATATAATAATCAATAATATGCATTAAACAGTTATACATTTTACAAATAAATAGTGAAATACTATAGAACATTTATTTCTCTAAGCTACATATTTTTTACTTTTTACTATGCGTTGTCTGTTGTTATATTCTACGAAATGCCTTACACTTACGTCAAATTCGCCGCAGTTGGCCAGATTTCGTCGTGCTGGCAACATTGAAATAAAAATACCTACTAACTAGTAAGCTAGTAAGACTCTCACCATCAGTTTAATATAACACCAAACAGCGCTTCTAAATAAAAACTTTTTGTGACTATAAATTATACTTAACAATTGAGAAGAGCAACCGATCTTATCCTACAGAATAATATATTCTATAAAGACACGCACGTAGAAATTTTTAAAGAATTCAAGCGCTCGTAGAAAAAATTCTTAAACAGTAAGGGCCTTGAACACGAGTCGCACAAACGCGCAGTCGTAGAGTATATTAAAATTAAAATATATAAAAGCAGTTATATAACAAAAATAATACGACTGACTGACTTGATAGCATCTGAAAGAGACAACGACAAAATATTTAGTATCCTGTGGTGTTATCCCTATATTTTGTTTGACACAACTCAATGCATTATAAATAATACTGTAGTAGTAATAGATGTGTCTTATATAACTAATCAAACATAGTGGGTCAAGTAAGCCCATCTTAATGAAACAAACTTTGTCACCTGTACGACTCGTGCGCAACGCACCGAAAAGGTATTCAAGTGCAAGTTCAAAATCGAATAACAACGTGGCCTATTCAAAAACGCACTCAACAGTAAATGAAATACCCTGTTCAGAAGACATTGTATATTATTTTAAAAAATTGTTGTCCTCAGCCTTTTTCAATGATATCATTTGTTTTCGTTATTCATTTCACAGACAACACGCTTGTACAGGGTGGGATCAAAGACTGAAGTAAACATTTTAGAGAGGGGATAAAAATATAATAATCGAGTCATACTAATGAATTCTCGTCTTGCTAGGATACTAACGTCTTGCGACTTAGCCCATTTGAATAACTGTTCCCCAAAATCTAAAAAATAAATATAAAACTTATTATCTTTGATTTACAGTACAGCGTTCGCTGCGTTATAAACTTGCTCATAAATTTTTTAAAAGCTCCCTCTGGGTTTTCCCAACGTAAACAACTACTAACAAATGTAATTGGGCCGCCACCCTGTAGAACCATAGAGCTCGATCGCTCAGTCTATGACCATGTTGTGTGTGTGTAAATCTTCTAATTCGCTAGGGGATCTATCGATACAGGGTTTCGAGAAGAAAATCATTAAATACTCTGGTAGACGGATAGACAGATGACATTTATACTTAGGACTAGGAAATGTTGACTCGAGGTCTCCGTAAATTTATCCGTCGATGCGTCTGTGGTAATCAATAGTATAACCCTATCTACCATTTATGATTTAATTTTACAATGCGTGTTCATAAAAATTAATAAATAATTTACTGAACGCTATGTTATATTAATAGTAAACGGATAAATTTGAAGAAGACCCCTTACGTAAAAATTGCTAACTTTCACTATAAAGATATTTCGAGTTATAGAGTAGGTTATAATATTGTTCTGTTGAGATTTTTTAAAGATTTTTAAGTTTTTGTATGAGAGCATGATTTTTTTAATTTCCTGAAAATTACCGGACACACTTATAAAAATCTCAACACAACTGTCTATAGGTAGTTAGGTGTACTATATTTATTAACAGTTATTACTTATTTTTACAAGAAAACAAAAGAAATGCTTAAACAGATCAAAGTTTCAGGAATAACTAGAACTTATGTTATATTACATTCAAATATTTGAACGTTACCTAACAATATTATCTACATATTTTAAAACTTCTTGGGTAATTATATGACACTTCACCCCGGTCACAAAAGGAATCTTTGATTGTGTATTAATTTTTTTGCTTCGAGGGCGTATCAAACGCTACGATAATCAAATAACGCTATATTTCTTAAATATGCGATCGTTATTACAAAGCTTATTAAACTATATTTCAGGACAACGGTGAGTGATTTCGAAAACAATCGAGAATTGTTAGGACAAATCTAACGGTACGGTCTGCAAATAATTTGTTTCAAATAAGCTTCTGCTTCCTTTGGTACAAATGTGACATATATACGGTTATAACGAATTTAGTCAATTGATAATTATTTTGCTAACCGTACACAACACTAAACAGTTTCTATAGATAATGCTGAATCGATATTCCGCTACGCAGGAGCCACAAAAACACTTACACTAGACGATTAACAAATGCCACATTTATTTACAACGAAGGTGGGTTTAAAAGTTTTAACCTACTTAAATATTCAAAAACATCAAGGGTGTTATATTAATCGTTCGTTACATGGCAAGTAATAATGAAATGAGATATATCAAAATTTAGACAAAGGTTTTCAACATATATAATAACATATACAGTATGAGAAGAACTTATATGAAATATTATGAAGGCAATTTGATTTTAGTGAAAAACATGTGTTTTTTTACCTTTGAAGTATCTTTCTATGATTTAAATAAGAACGGTAGATTCTACCTATAAATAACATGAACATGTCATGAATACATGACATTTTAAGACACACGACAATTCACAATTTGACCTGATTAAGAAAAAGTAAAAGTTTAACACTCGTCGAAAATAAAAACCATCAAAATAACACCAAACTACTTGTACATCAGTTACCAGTTAATATCCGGCTCGAAGGACAACGTCGTGTGAACCTAACAATTACATTAAACTATTTTTTAGGGTATAAAAATCTATCTTAACTTAAAATCTGCTTCGAAATGTACAATAATATTCGAAAATAATTTGGCCTCTCACTATTCATAATACAAATAATAAATTATAAAAACTGACAAAATTTCTGAAAAACTTAAAATTCTAGTAATATTGACAAACGAGTTTAGTATTTATTTATAGCTTTCGAATAATTACACCATAGCAAATACATTCTACAAATATTTGAAACCAAGAATTAAATCGAATGATTTTCTAAATTATCTTTTCCACAAAACTTAACATATTGTGGTCGAAATTATAATGAAATATACATTTCATGATGTATTTGTTCGTAGCCTATTGTTTTAGAGACACGGATTTTGTGGTATGAGTGACAGTTCTGAAAATTGACAAGCTTTTAATTTAAATGTTTTTACAATTAATTCGATAAAAAGTGCACAAAAATGTGGAACACTTATTTTTTTCACTCAAAAAAAAACTTTTTTTAGCTCTTGCGAAACTCACACCAAAGATCCGTGTCTCACATTGAGTACTTCTCACAAAGAAAGCTTCCCCACTGATTTTATGAATGTTCAGTCATTTAGAATTTTATAGACTATAACAATAATCTTATTACTGTTCAATCACTAAAAAGCGAAATGCCCACTGTTCATAGTACCCGGGACAAACATTGTCATTTAAACGAATAAAAAATACAAATAATTCACAAACATAAATATTTGATATGAATGGCGGTTAATTAAATGCATACCTTTTTATTGCAAAAGTTGTCCATTTATGGCCTGAAGTGAGCATCTCCCATTTAGCGATCGATTAGTTGTAGGTGTCTACTTTTGTGGAAAGAACTCGACTTGATGTTGAAACTCGACGCGGCTAGCCTAAAAGAAGTCCTGCAAGCGGAATACCGATAGCTCCGTTCAGTTGTGGCGAGGCAGCGACACGTAGGCCGGCTCGGGGGCGGCGCGCAGCAGGAGCGGCAGCGGCAGCGTGCGCTTGCGCACGGCCGCGTACACAGGCGCCTCGCCCGCCGCGCCCTCTCATGTCTGCAGCGCCGTGTTTATTTCGCGGTGGATTGTCGACTGAAACGTTTTATTATTACACATACACCAGGAGAAATTAAAAACTCAGAACTTTAAAGATAATAAGTAAAAATAATCTACAGAGGCTACAATATTAGGTATAGAATTATTTGTGAATTAAATGATCTCAATTTGACCGTAGGTTGGGCAAAACCTGAATGCCTTTCGGATATGTAGCTTAAAAATACGACTTATTCAAATCGAATTGAAAAGTTTGATGTTTTCTGAATACGATATGAGCATTATGGTATAAAAGAAACAATGTGTAGTCGACTTTTTAATAATCAAATAGAGATATATCTACTCACGAGTTCTTCAATCTGCCTCGAGAGCTGATCGTTGAGGGCTTGAATCACTTGCCTCTGCCCGTCTTGAGCGGCAAGCGCCAACTCTAGCTGACTCTGCGCCATTTTTGCTTCGGCATCCTGCAATAATTGGCACATATAACTGTGTATAATATAAATCAAAGTGCAAATTCAATGTGCAAAATAGTAGGTGCCGTATAAAAACGATAAATGAAGTAAGTTTAGATTGTGATTTGAAAGTAAATCGTTACGCTAAATCTGCATTCTCACCTGTTCACTCTTTTTCGATTTAGTGATCTGTGCGAGTTCTTCGTTTTTCTGCGCTAATTCTGCTTCTAGCTGAGCTACGCGCTGTCGTAATTGCTCCACCTCGTTAGCATCGCCGCCTAAGTGTCATTCGTCGTTATGTATCAATAATATAACTCACAATAATTATGTTCGTTTAGATATACAAGTGATCATCTTTGTAGGATTATTTGTGTTTAACAGTTTAATTGTTGCACTTATTGGGATCGACCCGAAATAGAATATGTTTCCGTTACAATTTATATGAAATATATTTTTGGTCCTTTAAGCCGGACAATAGATCATGTAAAAAAATGTTATGTCAGAGTGGTGCTTTTGAGTCTACTTGGCTTGACCAACATTCCATGTTACGCGAGGTATTACATATGATCAGTTTAAGCATGCATACCTTTTCCCGCATAATGTCTCGCTCTGGCGACCTCCTCCCTATATTGGTGCAGCTGTCTCTTCCACTCATCCACGTTAGCCGTGCTCTCCTGAAGCGCTGCTGTCAGCCTCAGGTTATTGCTCTTGAGAGTCGCTAGTTCCACCTCCCATTTCTTCGCGTTCGCTGAGCTGTCAAATCAAGATACAAGAATTGAATCGATTTTACAACTTATAGTTGTAGAGGTTCAAGAGTTAATTTTTTGTTAAATTATTATACACGTTGGAAAGCTTCTATATATACGAAATTTCGGTGCAATGAACCCGAAATCTATTTCTAATTCTAAACGAGAATTTGTTAAATTTGACACATATTTTTATTTGCTATTACATGATTAGCGACTTAAGTATTTCGCATTAGCAATAGATAGTTTGCGAAGTGTTGTCCATACGATCAATACCTGAACAGGGAATCCGTTACAACCTGCACATCACTAGCCAAACGGTCAAGTGTGAAAACTTTCATTGCACAGCAATATTTATGGTTGCGTAACTCTTTACGCGAGTTAGGCACGTAATCATTACGATATTAGCGCCGTAAATATAAAAAATATATGTTCCGTCATTTTATTTAAATTCGTGAATCAACAGTTTCCGTTTTCGAGTAGACACTTTGCGGAAAGGTAACTGCCATCGGTTTGTTTTGGGATTTGAAAGCCTTTTAAGTTGCGTAAGGCTACAATAAAACAGAAATAATAACACGTCATAAAACTAAAATATCAATACATTATAAAATAAATGCTCTTTGTTTGCGACTAAAATAATGCAAGATTATTGGTCCATTGTTTTAAAGCATTTCCATTGCGTAGCTTATATGCATCAGTAAATTATTATGCAATCTGGATCCTAGACCGCCTCTGTGATTAATTATAAAACATTAATTATTAAACTTCAGTTAAGATTTTATACACTAACCTACGCTATGAGAGAAAAAAAAACGGAAAATTTGAACTTAAAAATGGCTTTTTTAAGAGTTGTTCGTATACCCAACCAACCATTGTTAAAAAGGGCACGAAGTGTAAATCCCCGATTTAGTCGGTGGAGATCTGAATGTCCAAAGCCAAAATAGGACGACAGCACATCTAGTTAGATGGAAGTAATACAGGTCTTTGCCTTCGAGTGAACACTTAGCTTGTCATAAAAACGGGCCACAGCTCATTACTTTTTCTTACGTTACCCCGTGACGTTTATCAAAAGATCTAGATCGTAAACTTAGAATAATTAAAAAAATATATCATTTCCATCGACAACTCTAATTATGTCTCTTATTTCCATAAAAATAAGGACGATAATCGACGTTCAATCGAAATTGTGCGTGCACATCTCGAATAATAATCTAGAATCATTCGCGCTTGTGCTCCAATTACATTCAATGTGCAATTTATATGCGTTTTGCTTTGGTAATTGTTCTCGTTATATTGCTATTCGAAATGGCGAAATTATAGTTTTCTACATTATAGCCTCTGTCGGAAAGGTTCAACCCATTCTCTATAAGCCTATAGACTAAGCCAAAGGACTGTCAATATTAAAAGGCGGTAGTGTATTCCGATTATTTATTTATAGCTACGTAAAACTATCTATACCTACGTTAGGGTTTCTATCAAAAGGGCCAACCCGGGACAATTTCAACTTTGAGGAACACAGTAGTTAGGTTAGTAAATTATTAAAATCGATCGATCAAAGGCTCAACAGTCAAATCTGGGACGTGTTCTTTGTCTTCTAGAACGTCTAATGTCCATAATAAGTGAATCGGGCTTATATGCTTGTTAGTAGATGACATATTGTTAAATTTTAGATTTCACGTCTTCCCGATTAAAAAAAAAAACAGATATAACCACAAATTACGCAATAGATTTACATTCGCGCTGCCACTAAAATGTGTCATGATAATAATAAATTAATTGTTCAAGCCAAATTTCCCGATGTGTTTAAATTTTTGGTATCTTCTATTTTGTTAGTTATCTTATATCTGATAAGGGACAGACTGAAACTTTGCGCTTAGCAAGCCTTGCTGAGCAAAAGCTGAGCTTTTAGCACAAAGTTAAAATTAATTGTACTTTCTTTCATTCTTTTATGTAGAAGTTTTTTCATTACGTACTCATTTTAGTTGTGAGTTTTGTACATTATGTTAACAAACGAATTATTTATTTATTTTCATTACCTATCTATTATTGTTGTGTAATCAATGGTACGGAACTCTTCCCTCGCGACGTCAACTCGCTCTTGGCCGAATAATATTAACGTTGGAGTTGTTGTACCATAGCTGTGCTAAGTATGAATTATGTTATAATCTTCCTCGTAAACTGATCGAAATGCCCCATTACCCCACATAATGTATCGCATGACGCAATATATTATTATACACCTTGCCGATCCGCACGGGGAGAAATATTCACGCCACTTATTATAATATCCGGAAAAATCAATCGTAATTTTAACGGCCGGCGCAGTTACATCGTTCCGTGTAACATCTATGTAATGTGTTAGTAGCACGACCCGCCATGGTCACTATTCGCAAATTGAAGCGTTGTCTCTTTTCCAAAACTCTCTCAAACAAATAGCGAGGACACAAAATTATCGTTCAATATGCATATTTTTGTTTTAGAAGTTACTCCATTGAAGGAGTGCCTGTACCGTCAAGGCGTGCGTACCATCAAGACTGTTATGAAGCAGTATACTGAATGGAGTATGACGGTAGACATGGAGTGCTTAGCTGATGGTGATCATAACATCTGAGCAAGATGTGCTGCAGACCTAGTATAGCTTAGGATGTTCATATTTTAAGATTTCCACACGAATTCTGACATGTGTCAGAGAATAATAAATTGGTTTTAATACATGTTCCACCTGCTGGTTATCGATCCCGCGACCCGTTAATTATGAGCCATTTAATTATTACCAATGAGCCCCTAAAACACAAACTCACACGTAAAAGAAACAATAAAATAAAATATACCTGTTAAATGTATAAGAGCCGGTGGTATCTAACTCAGCTTTAAACAGATGGAACAGAACTTCCTTGTCAAGCTCCACAAATTTTCCGATTAAATTACACTTAGCAAAGTTTAAATCACTTTCAACCATCTTTGATTACATAAAGGGGATTAGACGAAATGTTTCATTTGCAAAATGTTCCTCAAAATTACTTTAAAACATTACGAAGTTGTTTTAATACACGCTAATTGATACCAAATATTAAAGGAATTAAGTAAGAAATAAAGGTGCTCGCTTCATAAAGGTTATTGTTCGTTAAATTTGTGACTCTTAAATATCGATTATAAATAAAAAAAAAGGCGTTCCATGCTGTTTGCTCTAACCAATTAAGCTACCGAGTTTTTTTTTAATTTCATACACGTATGAACCAAAATAAAGTACTATACAAAAACTTGTTTAATTAAAGAACAGATAACATTTATGGCTAGGTTTAAAAAAATCAGAGACTAAGTTATACATAGTTTTGAAATGACTTTTTATTCTTAGTATCCCCATAATGTGTAATATTTTTTTTATCAATCACAGTCCAGTTCAGCGGAACCGTAATCGATTACTTCCACAAGAGCGGGCAGCGTATTCGATTATTCCGGCATTATAATTTAATCGCCTCGCATCCATCGAATTATCGCATTGAACGATTTAGGGAGTCGAGAGAAATTTAGTAAAATAAAACAACTTAAAAATCAACATATTGTCTATGGTTCCACCCAGCCAAATTCGTCGACTTCTTCGTTTTACTTTGAACTTAGAGATACCCTTCATCTTTAGTCCCCACGTGACCTCAGCTGCTGCATAACATCCGAAACGACGGGCCATAGTTAAAATAATTTCTAAATAAGTTAACTTTTTTTCTTACCCGTAATAATGTTTGAATAATATGTGTAGGTACTATTCGCGTAAGCTACAGACAGAACGTAATTATTTATGTTTTTTTATTCATATTTACTTGGTGGTTTACCAGCTAGGGGTGACGCAGTCGTTCCCTCCTCGATAAGAAAGGACTAGTTTAATTATTATTTAAATGTTATCCTATGTTACTTCTGGACAATTCTTCTTATACTATTATTAAATCGTACTTGTGTCCTTTTAATTTTTGTTTTTAAATGTTGTCGGTATGTCATGTTATCATCCCCTGGCAAAGGTGTCCGAATTATGCGCATGCAGGGTTCTACAAAAAAATATCACGACGACAATTAAGTTGTCAATCGTACTAATATGCCAATTTAGTTGCAACATATAAACATTAATGTAAATAAACTAGTGAAGTGCGAGTAATATTATATAAATAGCTTGCTTATACTAATATATTATTAAAGTTTGTTTCTTTCAACGCGCAAATCATAACATCACGCTGCGACTAATGCGAGCCAAGAAACAGTGGAAAATGTGAAACTTACGGGGAAATCGACAGAATATGTCTATATTTTAAGATTGACTTGCAAGAACGACGGTACGCGAACGACGTCGCGGGTAACAGCCATAATTTATAAAGATGAGGAAGAGGTTTCCAAAAACAAATTTTGACTCCCAAAATAAGTATTCTACGCGGATAAAGTCGCTGTCATAGTTAGTCAAATGTATTGAGCATGTGTATTATGGGACGAAACATATTCGAATTCGTATTTATATTTATCCTACCCTTTGTCAATGGTAAAATCACTTACATGCGACGCCCAATAATGCAAAGTAACTAAAATAAATTAGTGTCACTTATACGTTGTCTTAGCAATAATTAAACAGCATTATCGCTTCCTAGCGAGTTACAATTGCAAATGTCCACATGCCACTTACTATTATCGGCATTGCGATATGAGTGGCATGTTATTTGGTATTCATTTTTGCAACGACGTTGGACATAGGCCTCGACCGCAAGCCGTGAGTAACACGGATAGACAAGATGTTATGTCACGACATTTTGGATGCTTTGCCATATTCGGGTTGTAGATATAAACTTAAAGACACGTAAATTGTATACTTGGAAGTTATTTTTATCTTTTCTGCTATATCAAAGCCGTTAAAAATGCTAATCCTCCACATTGCACTTAAGACCTAATTATACATATTTTGAACCATGACCCAAGTACAAAAATATAAATATTCAGTATCGACAACAATGTCGCAAAACATTCGCGATTTTCGTTTGAGCACCCAAAATCGCTTTCGCTTATGACTGGGCACTTACCACTATAAATCATGCGTGTTCGTTATAAAACTTTATACTCTATTTAGACTAAAGGCATCAGATAATAATGTGCGACGTTAATTCGCTAGTGTTTGTATTAAGTAATAATTAATTGGTGAAACATTCCATTGATTACGACTCGTTAAGCAATTAGAACGTGTTATCTAAATCCTGTAGAGCAAGGAGGGACTAACATAGTCGCTATATCCAACGGGTGCAAGAATTAGACATTTATGACAATTCTGGAAACGTTAGAATATATTCAATATGTAATATATTTTGATATGCAACAAAATCAATATAATATTGGATTTTGAAAATTTAAAAACACTCTTTTTCACGTTACTGCACATGGTAACTTTAAGTATAAAGATTAAAAATTTATTTCAGATTGAAACCCTCCCCTTGAAAACCTTGCACGAAGGGCTTTGTGTCTCGCCTGTGTATTTGAATTAAAATTGATTTTTTATCTATATTGTTGAAGAACTAATAATTCGTCTAGACTTAATTATGCACGGGAACCAAACTTTAAACCAAGCATCTTAAACAACCACTAAAATAGAAGCTCATCAACATCCCGTTGCGCAAATTACGCTCGAAAGAGCATTTAGTTAGCCATTAAGCAGAGCATCAAATCTGTTTTAAGATTATCGCAAAATCCTTATCAATAAAACAAATAACGCCATACATTGTTCGCTCATTGTCAAACAAAACACTTACCAATTACGATAGAATAAAGTCCTAAATCCATCGTCAGACACGAAATCCCCGATTCGGATATAAAAGTAGGGATAGCATATACACGCGTATAAGTTGACAGTGGGTTGAAAATAATTTACTTTCGTCAGTGAAACATTGTTGGGAAGTGATTTTTTTGTGCGGAAAAAAGAGATGGAACTTTTTGTGAGTAATTTTTATTTGTGCCTTCATAGATATAATGTAGTTAGTTGATGTTGAAGTTACATGTCCCGTATTATAAGAAAAATGGAAAATGTATATGCAAGCGTATAGGATATATAATAATAAGTCATTTGGTTTCAGTTTTTAACTGGTTAAAATTCGTTAAACAATTTGTGTGTAAGGTCGTAATTAGTGTATAATGTTATCCTGTATGTTACATAATATGCTGTATAATGTCTAAAATATTTAACAATATTAGCTATTTATTAAGTTGATTTGTGTTTGTGTGATAGGACGTATGGTTTTTTTTTAACTTTTTTATTTAGCTTCTAGAATATTTAAAAAACGCGTAATATAAATAACCAAATGTCATACAAGGTGCGTGGGAAATTTGATTGTAACGAGTCATAATGATCATAATTTAATAATAGTTTAATACACTTTACGTAATTCGCATCATATTAATATGCGTTTATGTTGATGTAACTATGTTACGTCTATCCGTTAATTCCACTACATTATAGCGGGGGAGCATTTTGCCATATTGGATAATTTTAACAAAAGTTTTCCTTTAAAAATAAAATAAATAATAGCGTAGCTTACCCGAGTAGTATACATTTTTTAATTTATCGTCCTTGCATTTCTCGTTGTAAAAAATAGTCTAAAAAATACACAAGAATATATGCTGTCTTTTTGTTTTTTGTAATAAAACTCAATGAACTCATTCTACAAACACAATCTTGCGACAAGCAGAAGCCTAACATCCGTGTACACTTTAACTTTTAAAATATATGTAAAAAATAAAGTACGATAGGCTGCCTAACCCGGTAAAGGCCACAAAAATATGTCCGATAACTGACGAAGAGGAAATTGAGCATCGGAAGCGCCCGTCCGCACTCAAACGCACGCGCTGTAGCGTCACGAATTGACGGAATAACCCAATTAATTCACGTTACATTGCCTGACATATTTATATTACTTCCGTACACAATGCCCAGTGGGCATAGAATCGATTATCGATGAAATCGGGCATCGATGAGAATTATTAATCGATTACATACTGAAAGTTTGATGAATTGCGCGTCACAATTCTAGAAAGCGAAAATACATTTTAATATTACCTATAAACCATTATATTATCAATGTTCTGGTGAGATGATGACGAAGCTTTAAAAAAATCTTGTATCCCTTGATTTTGAACTAGGGCTGCCAAAATGTGTACGACAATAATTTCGGACGAAAAACTGATTTACTATGATCGAAATGTTTTATAACGTTTTTCTAGGATTCAAACATAAAAAAAAATGATTTAAAATTGAACAATTTATGACACGGGCGCGACTTGTACCTGCATCCACAGCGTTCCGTGCTGCTGCTTTAACCAATTGAGCTACCGTGTCCTTCACGTCATCGTCAATTTTTTAACCTGATACAATCTCGCGTGATGTAATTTTAAACATAATGCTACACGCGTTTTTATGTAGGAAGACAGGAATATGACCGCGATCTCGCCTGATGGGAATTGGCGATACTGTCAAAGGGAAGTCTGGGGAGATATCTACCTAAAGAAAGTCTTATTCTATTCTTAAGGAACCCAAAATGCTCAGGGAATGATTGCAGTCTTCACGGTTTTAACGGGATATTCATAAACTTACTGGAATTTCCTTAATAGAAGTTGCAATTTTATTGTTAAGAGAGAGACAATAAACATATTTCATTTTTCTTCATTGATAGGAATCGTTTGCTTTCCAACTGCACTGTGTCGTGATAGGCAGATTACGATTTCGTTAAAAGATGTCAAGTGAAAATTGATATCGCGAAGCGTAACATTGCGCACGCAATCGAATAGGAAATAAACTTTTGACGAGGAAACGAGCCATTAAACAGTTTAGTGCTTCTTTAGCATAACGCCGGTTCATTCTAATAGGTGTCGAGGGATGTTAGAGTAGCGTCAGCAACGGAATCTAAGACTAATTTTACATAAATAAAACGTAGCTAACGACTCTTCCTCCTGTTATTTTATTAACTTTAGACTCGTTGCCTGGCTGCTGCGAAAACATTAGCGCTGCTGCTCTCTCTGTCGTTGCACCATAGGCTGAGAATCCTTACAAAACTAAGTATTTATGTGAGGTTAATATATTCTCCATGGTTTTAATTGTAACCCATTAATCTTTCTTATTCTTATTTTGTATGATTTTGCATGCGTATTTTAAGTTTTTCCGAGAGGTTGGCCAAAATCACCTTTAACTAGACATAATTTAGCAGAACGACGAAACGACAATGTTATCTTCGATACAGATTGACGAAAACATACCTACGTTTTAAAATAAATTATTCTCTTACCTACCCAGAGAGAATATTTTTTTAACATTAGTTTCGGAAGATACATATGGGTCTTCTCATATGAAACCATGGGATTGGTTTGAATACGCTTATTCAATCCAAGTGACATAACACTTGATAAGGATTTTGAAAAGCTTTGATTCACCTTTTAATCAGGATAAATCAATCATTAAGGCCATACGATACAATATAATATAATATGCAATATACATACAGTATGCAGGCTTGTCAGCACGACAGACGCACCTTCTCTTCTACATTAGATTCTTTTTAACAAATCGATTTCGACACGGAAGCAGCTACAAACAAAAACTTGCTGGTCGTAAATACTAGCATATCTACTGATTTCAGTAATAAAAGATCATACGCAATCCACAACATCAAATAACACTTATGTCAGCGTCAATTTCGCGTACGGGCGTGACTTTCGCGTCACACTTCGCTCAATTATGCAACGTCACCTGTTATTATTGCTAGATCGTTTTGAGAGCTTTAGATGATAATGCATTAAGTACTTTTGAATCGTGAAACTGCCACAAGTGTAAACGCTATAAATGAAATCCCAGTCCAAGTGCTAACACCAAAGATGCAAATCAGTTTACAATTATTTAAAAAAAAACGTAGATTAGGACAGACTAGCATGGGGCATCACTTGATGGTATTTGAAATACCCCAGCCATATTACATCTAAACAAGATGCGCTGTCGTCTTATTTTGACTTTGGATATTCGGAAATCCAGACTGAAACTGAAACGCGATTGAACTTGGCAGCTTTTTCATCTGTGGATGGTGGTTCGTGACCCGGAAGAAATTTTGATATTTCTACTACGTATTTATTATAAATAGTCTATCAAGTTGTGATTGGATGACATGATTACCAAGTGGTACAATGCCCTAAGTTATGTTAGGAGTGAACAATCACCAATCAACTAAATGTTTTCATCCCCAGAAATCATTACAGCTATTGGTATTACTGTCGCCTGCGCTGGCGCAGTATGAAGGCTACGGTCTGGAGGACCACGGGCTAGAGGGCTACGGAGGGTATCACCATGCCCCCCTCGTGCACCACGCCATACAGGAGCAACACAACGAGGAGTACGACTTGGACTATCATGTAAAACATGTTTTACTCTAAATTGGCTTTCGCGCAAACTAATTGCAATACACATATAATTACTTATGTATGTACGGGATGCCAAACTTATCAGACAATATAATGCGATTAGTAAGTTGGTAGTAGTATCTGACCTTTGCAAAATGTAACTAAAATCGGCCAAGTAGTTACGGCGGAAAATTATTTCATTTAATTAACAAAAAACATCTAAATATAGCTAATGCATATAATAATAATTACTGATTGAGTATAATGTACTGGTAAATTTAATGAAATAAGACTGTTGGCACCTTGTATAATAAATTGCAAATTTAATATTCCAAATCAGAAGTAACAAAATCACCAGGTGTTTAATCTAGATCATCTTTCAGGCGCATCCTAAATACTCATTCGACTATTCAGTGAAGGATCCCCACACGGGGGATGAGAAGGAACATTGGGAGACGAGAGACGGAGACAAAGTCAAAGGTACTTTTCCGAAAACTTTTCTTAACTTTTCTAGTCTGTTGCTCTACCAACTAATCCTCCCTTCCCGGTAGCTCAGTTGGTAGTGCAGCAGCACGAATCGCTGATGTTTTGGTTTCGAATCCCATATCGATTTTTGCAATCTAAGAAAGGCTATTAATCAATTTGGTACTTTATAATGTTGAATGTAAAACACTCTAGGCTCCTACACGGTAATGGAAACGGACGGAACGAAACGGATCGTGGAATACGAGGCGGACGACAAGAACGGTTTCAACGCGATCGTCCACAGAATAGGACATCCCAAGCCCGAACCGATCCAGGAGTACGTCGCCAAGCCAGTCTATGAACCCCACTACCAGGAAGAGTACCAGCAGTACGAAGGGGGGCTTTATGCCCATCACTGGGTACGAACACGGACACTGATAGCTATAGTCTGTTGGGATCTTCAAACCATATCGGAATATGCATAGTATTAGATAATTTTCATCTGAGAATAAACAAAAGGTTGTGTGGGTAGTTTCAAGTACCGTCTTTAAAAAATTAGCTTCTCAATTTGGTTTGCATATATATTTCTTATGTTTGTTATTTTTTTGTTGAAAAGTAGATATTTTCGAGAGAGTATCATTATAAGGAAATTAGGTTTTGATCACCAAAACCTGATTTTTTCACTTTTAACAATTTAGAGTTTTGTTCATTCAGTTCTTTAAAGCACTACAAGTGAATACTTTGCAATTCTCCTCAAGAATTCCAAGTAGCTTGTGTTTGAGCTTAAACTATATATACTTTATTTTAAAGACAGTGGCTGTCCATCATAGGATATCTTGATGGAAATATGATGGTTAATTAAATATATAAAATGGAAGCAAGATGTGCCGTTGACATATTTCAGTTTTGTTTTGTAGTTTAGCTCAAATATGTACTATCTCGGTAACTAATAATTCCGTGTTTTACTAAAGCTTCTTTGCTCACAAAATGTTCCATAATGAAATATGCATATTCCTAAATCTTTCCTTCAACTGTAACTGTCAAAGTATGACTGATTTTCAATTTGAAATCGTTTTAAATAACAAACAGTATTATTGTTACTTATTGAAAAGAAACATAAGACAGAAATTAATATGTTTCTTACGGAAGTATAGTTGACTAAAATTTAAGGAAATGAAATTCAATTCTATCTGTATTAAACATAAAAATAAGTGTTATATTTCTTGTAATTGTTACTTTATAGTTTTTATTGTTTTCTTTAATTGATGAGACTGTAACATTTAATTAGATAATTAAGTATTGTACAAAACAATTTTGTAAAAAGAACTGTATTGTTTGAAATTAAATAATGAAAATAGGAGTTGTTTTTAATCGTTTAGCCATAATAATCTCTATATAAAATACAAATCAATATATATTACTCGATAATTTTCACTTTAATGACTACTATTAAAGTAGAGTTCGTTTAAAACTTCCACGTTTTATTTATTACACACGAAGGTTTTGTAACTTGAATTTGGATGAATCCAGACAGGACCCAACTTCTATATGTATCAGAACATACCATATATATTATATATCAGTAATAAGTAGATAACTTAAAGAGACTTACCTCTGCGCAAGCGCAAGTTTGAGCCTGTCGTTCTCGTAGCGCAGCTGCTCAGCCGTGTCGGGAGGGGCGGGGTCTGCGGCGCCCGAAGACGCTAAAGGGCCACGGCTCGACCTGCCCACCGTCGCGTAACCACCCTGTTACACGGACCAATTAAAATATTACTTATATTTACAAAAGACATCCGAAAACAGACGCATTAGACAAACACACAACACTTCCCACGGGCAGTTTTTATAATAAAGTTTTATTGAAGTTATCTCATTTTTATTACAAAGACAGTATGAAAATAAAGGGAAATTATTATTATATTTTTAATTAAACACAAACATAACATTAATTAAAATAGAATGCTCAAAAAATAAATTTGTTGATATATGAGTTAGGTTACTCTCGGAACAGATAAAGGACAGTCTTTACCTGAATGGTTGATGAAACCGAATGAGCTCGCTGATGCACCATCATTTCGTCGTTTTCTGGTTTTGGCTAAAACAAATAAATTAATAAAACGTCTTATATTTAATATTCGGAATTCAATTGTATAAGAATAGTTCTTTAATAGAGATCAAATCTTTACGACACTATCTTTTGAGCGAGGAAAGGTATGTGTACAATAAAATAAAATATTTGCAATGTAACAAGAGATCATAATTAAAATAAATTAAACTTATGTTTACCGTGTCTTAAACCGTTGAAAGTTTTATATTTTTAGGATAAAAAGCATTTGCATACGCTGAAGACTTACTGAAAACCGGTTTCAGGTCACCACAGAAAGTGACATAAGCTGTGTGAGATCCTATTCTACCGACTACTTCTTCTAGCACACAACATTTTTATACTTCTTAAATTAAGTTATGGTATTTAGTATTTACTTCTTTTTGATTTAATATGCAAATTAATTTTATATTTCGTAATAAGTTCAACAACAAGAAAATCAACCAATACTTTTTGAAATGAACAAGTCAAAAGACTATTTTTTGGTATAGCAAATTACCTGAGCAGGAGATACGGCCGGTGGTTCATCGGCAGGTGCTCTAGCGGCTAGCAGAGGACTGGCCGTTGCCGAAGCGACTGGGGTAGCCGCCCCAGATCCGTTGGTAGTCTTCGCAGCACCGCCACACTGCTGCGCTTGAATGGCCTCCTTCACCTCTTGGAACTTCTCTATGAACTGGAACAACAAGAGCAAGTGTTAGACTTTTCTAGAGGACCATCGATCTAAACCACAATGTTGGCTACTCTACCATCATTCTACATATGTGATAAGCATTACTTTAGCAAGCAAACCTTTACTTTTAAAGGTTTGAAGCAGTCACAATGAGAGTTGGATAACCCAATGTCCTCTTTAGGGAGGAACTGGGTGAAATAGTAGATAATGTAGATTGATCACCTGAACTGCTCTCGGTTACCCCCATAGAAAATAATAATAAGTAGTAATAGTCTGTTTCCAAACAATATTATTTAATTTAATTGACTTATATTAATAATAATAATAATAATAATATCTTTATTTAGCATTCATTTTGTACAATTATTAGACGTAATAAAAATAAATGTAATTACAATAAAGAATAACAATAATAAAAGTAAAACAATAATACTACGACAAGATTAAATTAAATTTGGTTTAAAATGATGCCAAAAGGGTCTTACGTCAGCATAAGTTGTAGCACGGTTATTATGCTACAACACTGATTTTCAGCAAAACCCTACCGTTTGTCTGTTAGACAGCGCACATACAACCATTCGATACTATATAACAGTGACTTTAGTGGTAAACATTAGGAAGCAATAAATGATAAAAATAGAAATTAGAAATTATTGGCGTAAATAGGAGGGAGAAATTCTTGCGCCCAGCGGCAAAGTGTTCTGATAGTTTAATAAAAATGCTTTGTAGAATTTTTTGAAGCCAAATAAACTATTATAATTATGGGCTGGCGGTGGAATATTATTCCAGCATTTTGTCGCTGAGTAACTGAACGACCCCCTAAAGGCGGCCGAATTATATTTAGGAATTCTCAACCCTCCTGAATTGAGGAGCCTTGTTTGGAAGACACCACGACACCACTCTAATTTTTTAAAAAGATAATTAGGTTTAGCATTTTTTATCACTCCAAATAGTAAAGTAGCTAAGTGCAATTCTCTTCGCAACGTCATTTTGAGGATCCTGTTTTTGTAAATATAGGGTGTAACATGAGTGCGAGGGGCTATATTAAAACAATATCGAGCACACGCGTTCTGTACCCTCTGCACAACTCGTTCAGTCCGTGCTAAAAGACGCGGCCCGAAAACTACGTCGCCATAATTTAGTTTCGAAAGAATAAGTGCTTCGCACAGCTTTGTGCGAAGCTCCTCGTTTATATAGCGGCGTATCCGGTAAAGTACTTTTAGCCGATACAGACAGTTCCTTACCACATTTTCAATATGTGCTTCGAAGCGAAGTCCTGAGTCAAACACTATACCCAAATTCCGTGATTGGGAAACACATTCAATATCCTCTCCAAGGACGCTTACTTTAGGTGCACGTGTTTTAACATCAGCTACTTGTTTGTCAGTACCAAGAATCATAAATTTGGTTTTAGCCGGATTCAAATTGAGGGAGTTGCAAGAAGCCCATTGAGCTATATTTTGTAAATCTAAATTTAGTTTGCCAACCGCTATTTGAGTGTTCAAAGGATCAAAAGGTAAATATAATTGGATATCATCGGCATATATATGATATTTGGCAAATTTAATGGAATTGACAACGTCTGCGCTATACAAATTAAACAAAATTGGTCCTAAAACTGATCCTTGTGGAACTCCACTTAATAGCGTCCTCGGTCGAGACCGAATAGCCTCACCATTTACTGTATTCGTTAGTTCCACGATTTGTGTTCGTCCCCTTAGGTAGCTTTCAAACCATGCGACCGTTTCAGCTTCAAAGCCGTAGAAAGCCATTTTAGCAAGCATAAGGTCAAGATTAATTGTTTCAAAAGCCCTCGAAAAGTCAAGTAACACCAAAAGCGTAGCTTCACCTCTATCTTGAGCCTGTAATGCATCATCAACTACATCAATGAGCAATGTCGACGTACTATGAGACTTGCGAAAACCAGATTGATTACCGGGAAGGATGTGATTTTTTTCTAAATATTCATTAAGTTGTGCAGCAATTACTTTCTCAATAATCTTTGACATACATGGCAAAATGCTAATGGGACGAAGATCGCTTATCGCCTCAGGATTACCATGTTTTGCTAATGGCTTCACTATAGCGGTTTTCCACGTTATAGGGTACGTATGCGCTTCAATTGATCTATTAACTATAGCCGTAAGGACGTCCAGAGTGTAAGGTAGAGTTAACAAGAGCATATCCAGGGAAACGCCATCATACCCTAAAGCTTTAGAGTGAAGGGACTTGATTATTTTCGCAATTGTCGATGATGAAACAGGAGAAAGTTTAAAGGAAGTACTGCATGCTCTATTTGACTTGAAATAATTTAAGGTAAAGTCATTTACTGCATTGTCACCAGGAATATCTGTGAAATGAGCGTTAATTAGATCTGGATCATTAAACTGAGAAGGTAACTCATTCGGTCTTTTGAAATTAATGTTTAAATTTTGCTTAAGGTTTTTCCAAAGTTGTTTAGGATTATTGATTTGAAGATTTAATTTTGTGTTAAAATAGGCGTTTTTCTCATTGTAAATTGAAATGTTTGTAAATTTTTTTAGTTCCTTGTAATTTGCTTTATGTGCATCTAAACCAGTCGTTCTATACAAATCATGCGCTTCATTACGATGTTTAATCATTTTTTTAATTGGAAAAGTAATCCACGGTAGTGAAGGAGAAGACTTGGAAAATACTTTTTTTACCGGTGCATAGATGTCAAAGATCATTGTCAGGATATCGCAAAAAGTAATAACCAGATCGTCGACATTATCTTTGGAACATAGTAGCTTCCAATCTATTGCCTGGAGACATTCAGTAAATGTTTGCAAATTTATGGTATTAAGCGGTCTAAAAATTCTCCAACACGGTTTATTTAAAGTTTGTTTTTTTAATTTAAAATCACACTCAATAAGCGCGTGGTTGCTTAAGTCCGGTATAAAATTAACGTGTACTCTGCTCACACTAAGATCACTACACACGACATCTATTAAAGTTGCTGAAGTATTGCTGAAATGAGTAGGCTCTGTAATCCATTGCGTGAAATTCATATACTGTACGAAATTGTGAAATTTAGAAGTGTTACTATTCGACTGCAGTAAATTAATGTTAAAATCGCCCAATAAGATGGTATAATCATAATTTGCGAAGGAACTGAGTGTATCGGTTAATGCGTCAAAAAACGTATCTATATCGTGCCACGGTGGTCTGTACGCCGTACCAACTATAACGTTACAACTACAACACTTTAAGGACAACCAAAATTGCTCGACCGTGGGGTGGGCTGGGAATGAGACTCTACGCGCAACGATTTCTTGCCGGATAAAGAATCCCACTCCACCACCGCGAGATCTGACCGTAGGCGAGCGAGGAACATGCAAAAATTTATAGCCAGCTAATTGTGGCACAAGAGCGTCGTCGTTCCCGCGGAGCCATGTTTCGTTAATGGCTAACAAGTCAAAACGAAGCCCCTCCACAGCGGAAACAAATTCCTCATGTTTATTTGCAAGTGAACAGGGATTTAGTAAACCAATTTTAAGTTGTTTTGAAACAGAGATAACTTAGTGAAAACTTATATGACAAGTTATATTTTATAGGCGAAAAATAAGTAGAAAATAAATGATGTTTGAAAACGCCCCTACGACCAATAGGTTTTATAATATAAAGTATTATAAAGTCACTTGCAAAGATTCTTATAAGAATGGTTATATGTATACGTCGAACAGTGAAATAATTATTAAGTAATATGTTAAGTTGTATTATTAAACGTTTTATATGTTGAAAATGGGTAAAAATAAGAATACCATCGTTATTCTTAACTGCTATTTGATCAAAAAGACAAATAAAAGCAACCAGAAAGATAACAATACTAACAGGGAGGTTATTATTTGGCATCACTTTTTCTAGCCCACTAAAGATAATGACTATTGTAGTGTGAAATAGTACTAATTGTTTACTATGTATACAATCATACTTAGTTGTGACTAGAATTAAATTTAAATTAACAAAATGGTTGGTAGTCTTAAAGGTATAATAGTGTAGTTTTAAACAACTTAACCCACATATTACAGCATCAATACTAAATACAGATACGCTATGTTGATATGATTCTATAGACACATATAATAACTTTACAGTATATAACATAATCTGGCTAATCACAACATGACTGTGACCCTTCGCAAACTTATTAGACAAATTATTATTATTACAACAGTAGTCTATTAAAAATAAAATATAAGATAAAAGCAGAATAGTCTTAGGACATAGACAACTTTTTTCTAGGGTTATAGACAAACATCGAATGAAACTAACGGGAATAGCAATGTAAACAAGATGGGGGACTAATTTTCGGGACCACCAAAAACCACGGCCAAGTCTGCTTCAGTACGAATTCGTTTAACTTTTGTGTCCGATTTCTGACGAGCAAATATATTCCCATCTTTGGTCCATAGGTATTGCCAGCTTAGTCGTTTCTTTTCCTCGCGAGCCTTATAGAAGAGGTGCTTGTTGTGGCGCGTAAGACGTTCATTCAGATAGAATCGGCGCGGATCGCCCGGTAGATTTAATCCTGACGTGTCGGCATCTCGGCGTACACGTGCACTTTTTAATAAGTTGTCTCGTATTGAACGTCTTGTGAATCGTACGTATATCGATCGGCTACTTGGTTTCGGCCCACTTCCATTACTGCGATTACGACTATAGGCCTTTGCCCTCTGAACACTCACGATGTCGTCTTCATGAACCACAACGCTGAGCTTTGACGCAATCAGAGTGACCAAATGCGACAAATTTTCACCTTCGTTGTCTGGAATTCCAGAGATTTCAATGTCCGTCAGTAACAATTCCTGATCTCGATCGTTTAATTCCGTTTTTAACTGCGATATAGATGATAATAAATCCTGGTTCGAGTTACAGTCTTGGCTAGGTGAAAGTTCTGATTTATTTTCTAAAACAGAAATCCTGCTTTCGACATTATCGAGTCTATCTCCCAAATTGTGCACTGACTCAAATAGTTTATCTATTCGAGTGGAGAAGCACGCCATATCCTCCCTGATAGCACCCATTTGATTTGCCAGTTCTGTACGTAACAATTGCAATTCAGAAATTATAGTATCGGATAACGGAGAGTCCCTGGTCTTATTGCCCTTACACTCCAGGCAGGACCAATTTGGGGGTGTTCTTTCTCCTTTGGATAGCTTAGCACATCCCCTATCGAAAACTCCTGCGCATTTGGTACATTTAACGCCATCTGTTGCCGAAGTGAATTTTCCACAGTTCGAACACTTTACTGTCGACATAGTCAGTATTGAAAGAACAAAGTAGTTAATAAACAAGATCGCTAGATGTCGCTTTGCTCAATGATGCTTATTTATATGCGAATATTGCAAATTTATTCACAGTTCGCTTTATATAAAAAATTGCACGAAGTCACTAATTATTTTTCTCAATAATATCCAGTCCGTTATTATGCACTTCTTCTAAACTGTCTATATATTTAATCGACGGTATCACTGTTTTCGCAAATTGTTCAATGCATACCCACAACTCATCACTGTTCTTAAGCACTTTTAAGTCACTATAACCACTGTATACTTTTATATTCAACTTCGAATTCGATATTTAGTTATAATTTAACTAATACACTGCAAAAATACCCAGTTCGAGTATAATCTACAATAGTAATTTACGACAACAAGGAAATATGAACGCGCTGTCCGACAGACGGCGACGGAAAGTGAATTCTACAGTAAAAGTAGCCTTTTACTGTAGAATTTTAGGTTTACATAGAAGCGCTTTAACTACTTACACCTCGTAAGAGAGGCCCAGTTGCAAACTATTGTAGGTTTCCAATCTAATTTTTGAGAAACCCACCTTGCCAAGTTCAGCCTCTGAAGCAAAGCCAAGGCCGTACACAGTATTGGCTCTAACATCGCTCCACTGACCAAACTTCTGGGACGTTTTGGTGAACGTCATGTTTGCTGTTATGGTACTGTTGATCACCGCCTGAAAATAATAAAATAAATATGTATACAATATAATATTGTTATTTAAGAAATTAAAAAGGAAAAGAGGTAAATAGTAGAAGAAAAAAAAAAGGTTGTATTTTTGGGGCATGGGGCTAATATTTTTTTACATTCAAATAACTGATTGTTGCAAAGGCCATTTAAAATCCAAAGAAGAATCATTCTTTATTTTATCGATTCGAATCCAAGGGTTCAAAACAAAAAGCACATTAACAAATGAAACTAAGGACAAAATAATATTGTACATATATCCTTCAAGGCGCGTTGTGAGAAAATAATTGCATTACGAGATCCATGCTGTCCTCCACGGTACAACACTCTCAAAATGTGCCAAGTGCCCTTTCGACGCGGTTCGCGTCGAAAAAGACGCAAGCATTGTGACAAGAAAATCTGTGTTCCTATATTTATTTAAACTTTGATTAGCATGACTTTTAAATTTGATTTGAAAATAAAAACGTAATACTTGTATGTGTAAGTACTTGAAGAAAGTAATTGAATAAGCAATTTATTTTTTGTTGCACCCCACTGAAATTCAACTTGAAGTCCAATATTTAACACAAAAATATTTAAAGCTGATATTTGATAGACACAAAGTAAGAATTGTCTATATGTTTAGACAAGTACACATTTATATAAAACCCTATTAGTAAAAATAAATATAATCAAGGTTTTCAGTATTTTATTTAAATAGACATAACTTTATTTTGTTGCTGTAGAAATGAATCTGTATGTGAGACTTATTTTTCTTTCCCCTAATCTTTTTAAATATTTTCCATACTAACACAAGTATGGAAAATATTTTAAAAAATTGTGAATTTAGCGCACAAAACATTACTTTTATTTTTCCCTAATTGTAATATTGTGTATATTTGACAGATTATCTATTGCTTTATTAAAACAGGTATCTCACCTTAGTGCCTTCCACGCTGATTATCCTGTAGAGGTTCCTTGAGGAGTCATAGAAGAAGGACACAGACACCGCAGCCGAACTGGCAGACATCCATGAGCGCTTCGTCTTCGGATCTATGTGGAACACGTGCGCCTTGCACGTGAAAATAGGCTGCTCCCTGGAAATAGAATAAGAAATATTCCATCAGCCCTTTGAAATATCTGCTAAACTTCTTACACATTTTTTATTACAAGTATGCAGTAGATATTGAATTTAAAACAGTTAAGTGTAATTAAAATCTTTTAATAATTTTCACATGATGCTATATAAATTATAACTCGATTATAGATCAACAGCATGGATTGCTGTGGATGACTGTTCAAATCCCGCCCGGGTCATAAATTTTTAATTTAAATATAATTGATAGAGATTGAGATATTGAAATCCTGAGATCCTTTGGCATCTAGTTTTCATATCAATGTTTTTTTTTCAAAGACTTACAAGGTACATTTCTAATTTAGTACATATTTAACAATGTATTATATGTATACATTGTTAATAACATTCATTGCCAGTTGAGGTTGCAAATTTATCAATAAAAAAGTTTTAAAAAGTCATAATAGTTTGTCTAATAAGGCGTATTATTGTTGGAACAATTTCTTAAATGACGAGAATGCCTGGCAGTGATATGAATTGCTCCTTAGATTAATAAATTCCCAAAAATCTATTATTTTATAAGATATGTTTTAAGTAGCTGGACTCAGTCTTTTGGGTGTTCATGTTGGTCATGTTGCCCTTTGGAACACTCAGTAGAATCATGACAGACAAACATTTTTTGAATAATGAAAATTATTTTTAAAATTTTTAAGAGAAGAAAGTTTTTTTATTTTTTTTTATCTCTTTCCATGAAAAAATAAGTAGTTAAGAAAGTTATAGACATTTCCTCCATCAATAAAGAAAGCTAAAATTCCCCAACAAAGGTATCTTATTCAGTTAAGTGTGAGATAAAACCGTCACAAAAGAATCCATTTCAAGTATTTGATAAAATTGTGGAAATGTCAATCAATTCATTATAACGCTTACATAGTACATATATAAATAAAGTAGGTATAACAATTGTATATTTTTGAGCAAGTTTACTCCTTTATTTTTCCTATTAGACTTTTTATTGGAATTGCTCATAAATATCAAATGATAGGCACAGATCATTTACAAAAAACTTAAATAACTTCTATATATATATATAAAATTCACAAATAAACAAAATTTCTGCCACCCAATAAGTAGACATGACTTAGTCATGATATTGTTAAATCCTTGATGATTAAGATAACTAATGTTATAGGACTAGTATAAACAAAAAACAAACAGTACTAATAAGCTTTTAATGCAAAAGTGTGTACAATGTTTCTAAATTTCACTTTTGTTTGTGATTACAATTGTAAAGGAGTTTGATTTTTAAATTCCACTCTTTCGTTTAAACGCAGTCGCGCTAATAGCTGTAATTGCCATAATTAACATCAAAGCAGCATTGTTTTCTGAGAGTACAAGGGAATTATAAATAGCCAAGTACACACCCTCGTCCTTAATATGGTAGTAAAACCGTTCACTCGGACACAATCAATGTTCAAGTGCAATCATTCATACAAAATCGACTTGCGAAACAGCGTAACATATTTGCAATATTTTACCATAATGCAACTATTAGACATGTACAGTTATATTCATATACCCCGGTGTTTAACGTTGAAAATAAACATGAAAAAGGAAATCCCAAAATACCCCTTCACATGGGTATTTGTTAAATGCATCCCCTCCCCAAAAAAAAACTAAAGGCTTAGGAAAATAGAATTTCCCAATTTTCCGAAAATCGGTATACAATAATGTCGAATACAAATAAAGATACGATTCTAGAAAATAAACTCACCCCATTGTTTCTTTTCCAGCGGTCATTTAAACACCTTATTTTAGAAATAATCTAACTTCATAATTTCCAATTTTTACGCACAGCCAGCTGTCATTCAGCGGTTGCGGCATAAACTACAGATTAAGATGGCAAGCTAAGAATGTTGCCAGACTGCGCTCAAAAACTAACAATTAATTGTCTATGTCTATAAAATACACTATAATATAGTGACCAAAAATATTTACAAAATGATTAGTATGAAAAAGTATGAAATGAAAGAAATCATACTAGTTTACAAATATAATTAGTAAGATGTTTAAAATATAAAATGAAATGTCAGTTTTGTTAAACGTTCCATTTTCAATATCTTACATTTCGTCGTCGTAAATTATATTATTGAATTATTATTTTAATATTTATTTTCCGACTTAAAAAACCTTATATACATAATTATTACTCCGAATTATTATATTTAGTAAACAATATTCGTTTCATATTATGATAAGTGGCATCTATTGGATTCACTATGAACATATCATAAACTTATTTAACCTATTACACACGAGATGGCAGCAAAATATATTTGCTTTATTCGTTATAAGTATCTAGACCAAATAAAGTATTTAGGAACTTTGCACGAGATGTACTATCTTTAGATTTTAAAAATATAAATTAAGTATTAAACGTGGGCTTACAGTTTTCTTACTTAGCAGTATAATAGAACGACATCAACAACACGTATGTTTAAACCTACCAAAAAGATTTATGTGAACGTTTGATTGTTCAAACGTAGGTAGAATATTCACACCTTTACACATTTTAAATAAAATTTTTATAATTTACTTGCGATCAAATTATTTACACGGATTACGAGCATGCATTTAACATGTGCATGCATATCTCTACTCTCATGTAAACAAACTATCTATGCACTATTACTATCGTGCCACTTGACGTCAATGTTTTATACAACAGTTTTATCACAGTAACAGTCTATGTTGATGTTTATTGATTGACGAATGCTTTATGCGTGTTATTTTAACCTTATGGTCGCAAGTAGGTGTACTTGACTAGGTCGGGAGTTCATTTTCTTGTCTAAAAGCTAGGGTTTGTGTTAAAGATAGTAAATCTGTAGAACCACGGAAGTTACATATTGGGCCAGGATGTGTCTGAATATTCTAGTTCTGCTACAACAGAGAGACCAGGCAAAGCCTCCAGTTCCGTCAATCTTGCGTCAAAGGTCACAACTCGATTACATGAGCTTCTTAAAACTGACAAATAACCTTAAAAAGTAAATTAAACCTGTTTTGTTCGATAAGTAAGTACTTTTAAGCAAATTAAAAGGCCTCTATTAGATAGGGTCACTATAATTAAAAGACATGAGCAATATAAATGTAAATATTGTGAAGTATTACATGTCTTAATATGCTATTAAACGGGTAAAGGTTTATTTTTGCGCAATCGAACCCTCAGCTTCCAAAAGTTCCAAGTAGATCACCATCTTTTGTGAAAGTCAACGTTTACACTCGTTCGGAACAATTCCGTTAAGGCGAATGACTTAAAACATTGAACATTTGAATTAAATAAAAATACGCAAGTTTCATTAAAGAGTTACAATAACATGAAAAATTATTATCCATACTATATTATAAAATTATAATATTAGTAAATGTAAAAGTTGGATATTTCGTTATGTGACGTTAATAAGTGTACATAGTTGTACATGAGTAAATGATATTTGACTTTTGACTTTTTATCCATCACTAAAATGTGCCTTTTTTATCTACCATGATCACAACAGGACACACAGGTGTTCACATGATGTTAGGTAAAATAGCCCAACCATTCAACATCTTCAAAAGATGCGCTGTCGTCATTATTGTCTTCGGATATTTAAATAAAACACTTTAACGGTTTAAAACGCGGTATATTAGTTAAACTCATTTGAAAGTGATATCGCGTTTTAAACCGTTAAAGTGTTTTATTTAAATGTGTACTACTCGCGTAAACTATAGACAGTCTTCGGATATTTTTACAAATTCTTTTAAATGTTCATATTTAATTTGTGTTGTATAATTGGATCGTGACCCATTAAAAAAAACACTACATCTAAGCCCAAATTTATTTTCTCACTAGAGAAGTGTTCCCGGAACTAAATGTCGATAAGAATCAGTGTTTTATTAACGACATTACTTCGCCTTAACTAATAAAAATGTTTTACACAATGCAAAAGAACGTTGAACCATTGTGTAACAAAGTTATTTATAGCTTACATAACAGCAATACACATATTATTATGTCGATGTAATAAGATAATCAAATATTATTGTCTATTTGGTTTGCATGTTACAAGTCAAAAACCAACTAGGTACTTGAAACGTCGCTATTGTCCCGTTATCATTAAAATATTTCCTAAACCATTTTTGATGAGAAATAAACTGTAAAAATTTTATTACATGCCACGCTATTAGTGTACAGAACTCAGGTGTTAAAGTGGACTGAAGGTAAGTACTTAGAGAATAGAAACTAAGTTTATCTACTAAATGAGGCCGCTAGAGGCAGTAGCCTAACTGTAATTTTTATGACTTGAGTTAATTATATTTTCATAGTCTAGAAATATTAATCTAAGAGCATAGTGACAGAAAATTGTTATCATAATTCTTACACAAATTATAGTAGAGATTCATCTTTGCCTAAGTTAATTGCGCAGTTATATATCCTTCTTATTGAAAATTGTAAAACGCGGTAACATCAATTTAGCGGCACATCATATAATCGCAAGACACCTAAAGGCACAAAAATGTGTTAATTTCCCTTCCTGCTTGTAAAAGACGTTTTCCTTCAACCTTGTGTTTTCCTTACGTGCTTTGCAAAACGCGCCTTGAATTATCAAATTAAAATAAAAAATTAAGTAAATCTTATTCGAACATTTTAATTTTTAAACTCTTTTTCCATGTTGTAGTCTGGAGCAGATCATTGATTGTTCCTCTGAATTAGTTTATCTATGCCCTTCATCCCTGCCACGTAGCACCTAAACAAGATGCGTCATCGACCTATTTTGGCATTGGATTATATTTGGAAATCCAAAGACCGAAATTGGAACACAATTAAAATTCATGGCTTTTTCATTCGTGGACGGCGCTTCATGCCATGACGGAACTTCGATATTCTTACTACCCGATATATTTAGATTTCCAGAAGACGACATGTTTTAGAATAATAATACACTGATAAGAAAGATGTTAGACTTGGTGATGACCGAACCCACGACCCGTTGATTATTTACCAAATATTGCTTTACAACCATTAGACCAAGGAGCGTATCAAATTCATTCAGTCGGAATAATTAATTGCTTATCTCTCATAAAATCAGCCAGGTGGGCTATAAAATGATAAAAAATTCTAAATCCGCTTTGTAAACCCCTTTTATGGTACGAAATGTCAAACGTTAAGGACAGAGGTGATCTTCGTATTTCGTTACCATCCTATTTTGTAAATCGAGTTTTTAAATAGGCCAGTTGTAGATCCGTTAAGTTTAATAAGAGCTTCAAATGATTTATTGATACGCTCATAGTTCCAACCATTCGGTCGGACAGTCGGTTCGGACGATTGGTCGTGGGTTTGATTCCCGTATGAAACATGATTATATATTTTTTTTATTACTCTAAATCTGAACTTTAAGTACCTATGGATTTCCTAATATTCAATTCCAGAAATTGATCAACAAGGCATCTCAACTAGATGGTATAGGACTTAGATGAGTCCTATTCCACCAAAGGAATCTTATGCTTATCTATTGAAATTTAAAATACAACAAACGAAACTAAGCTATGTATTTGATATTGTTTATTTCTTTTTCTTGTCTTATTTTATGTATACTCATGTAAGGTTTTTAATAAGTCTATCAATATGTATTATATCATGTACGCTAAGGCTTTTATGTGCTGTCCAACCGAAATTATGATTGTGTCACAAAGTTTGAACGCTGGACGTTCTCTACTTATACTACTGAACCACAGAGGCGAGTTGACAGAGAACGTATTTAAATGTGAAAGAAAAACAAGGATACAAATTTTAATAGTTATATTAACGCGAAACCGCCAAAATTAAGATGCAACAAGCGTAATACACAAACAACGATTCTTCCTCTTCGCGTTTTGACCTCGGGAGGTCCGTGAACCGACCCTGACCTCTTACGATAACTGAGCAAATAAGATGTGGTATTCACATGTAAGTACCGCCAACACAAAATTTCCATACTAAAGCTAAAGTGTTTCTTTGAATATGCTTACCTCCGAAACTACTTCACTGTACTACGCCTTCCCATGACCACGACTGCTGCAAAGCATCCGAAACGTCGGGCCGAAGTTAAAAATCATTTCCAAATAAGTTTAACTAATATATCGCGTTTAAACCGTTAAAGTTTTTTATTTAAATGTGTACTACTCGCGTAAACTATAGACAGTATTTACTTCACTGTAGCCATTAATTTACTGTTTACCCATTTATGAAGCTATACAATAGAGAATATCGCTTTCGTGCCATTAAAAACAATTTGATATAGAAACAAAATATTTTGTTTACAAACGTAAGTGTCATAATATGTTTGTTCGGCAAAATTCTTCCGTATTTATATTTTGAAGGCCACCTTTATCATATAACTAGCTGTTCCCGTGATTTCTTCCACGTGTAATAGTTATTTTCCGTCCCATTCCGTCGTTCTAGCGAGTTAATCTTAAAACATAAACATACATATAGTGTCGCGGATATTTTTTTAGATCATTTAACGAGGAACTCTATTGTACATATTTTTTGGTTTCTTGAATCGTTTTCGCAGCATGCAACAGAAGCCCTTCAATCAACAATTTTCCCCGTTACTTCCACTAATTTTCAAATTGAATCATGAAAATGCACGGTTTCTGCAAATGATCTGAAAAGTCGGGCCGAAGTAAATGAAATGGAAAATAAGTTATTATTTTACGTTTAAAGCACTCATATGTTTTGCGTTTAAAGCAGTTAAAAGTGTTTCATTTAAATATGTAATGTGCAGATTATAGTATCGATACATTATTCTATTGCATTGATGGCTATAAATGGCAACATTGATTTATTGTAAGCTGCAAATTACAATGCAGATGCACTTCCGGTGATGGCATGATGGGTCCATGAACCCACCTTGACTTCTTATATTCTAGAGAAGTAATATTAATGTTATTAATAGCGTCTTGTTTGTCTTGGTATGTAATTGTTTTTGATTTGTGTGTATAAATGATGTTTTTTTAGACCAGTAATTATTTAAAGTACACTAATATATTTAGGCAATAAGGCTTTCCGTTGTCATTGTTGTTGTGCTGTCGACCTATAGCTTTGAATATTTGGATGTGTGTGCTTAAGATTAAACTAAAAAATTGTATGAATGTATTTATTGATAACACTCGGGCTTTTAATATTAGTTTTCCACTTGTAACGATAACTTTGTGTAACAAAAAATCTATATTTTCAAGGCGATCTTTTTTGAATAGTAATTTGTAATTTCCTCAATAAAAAGCCTAATGGCGGTTATGTTTATGTCTTATGAGATGAATTATGTTCTAATGAAGTTATCGTGTGTTGCGGAAGATTTTTTTTATTTAAACAACTAAGGACGAACTTTTTTACCTTATATCAAAATAAAATATGTATCAATCAGGATAAACACAAACTTAATAATTATTTTTCGCAAATTTGAGTCAGGGAAGAACGGATCAGTGAAGCGGACATAGAAATGTGTTGGCCCATGCCCCACGAGGGAGAAACGGGATTTCACTAAGAAGTATAACAAAAATCCTACAAACAGTCTACAAATTTTATTTATATCTATCGAACATGTACACTAGATTACTAAGACAAAGTTTTCGTTATATTTGTATGATAGAGGACAGTTCATCTTGGGGTTCACATGAAAGGCGAAATATGCCATGATATAACATCTAAGCAAGTTGCGCTATCGACCTATTTTTGATTTGTATATTCAAAAATGCATACACTGAAAACGTAAGTTTAGCCTGTTTCAGAAAAATTATGAAATGATTAGAAACATTGAGACAAAGTGGGGATCGATCCGACACCCGTTGATTATTAGCCATGCTACCGTTAGAACAACGAACGAGTAGACTTTTGTTATCTTTACTATAAGCATCTGAAAATGAAAACATACGATTGTTATGCATATCGATCATCCATATTCATCGTGAACATCATTGATCATGATCGATATTCCCCAGGTAATCGAACCGAGTTACGTGAAGTGAAGCACAACTGAGGCATAAAAGCGGTCCGATACTGACAGTTGTACGCTATCTAATTAATTAACGCTTAATTAATAATTACGTTAATTAACACAAATCAATCATACACTATGTAGCGTGACACAGTGGTTGTAGTTATTGTAATTAGTGTTACATTCATACTAGCTTCGTCCTGCGGCGCTTCCCGCTCTTACTAGGTATCAGTTTTAGTTATGTTATGTATTTTTTATTTTACGCAAGTAGTATTTAAATAAAACATTTTAACCGTTTAAGTCGCGAAATATATTAGTTAATCTATTTTTAATTTGGTTCGGGCTGCTTGGTCGTCGGTCATGGTTAAAAGAAATAAAATATCGCGTTTTAAACTGTTAGGATAAAATGGTTTAAATATTATTAAACCATAAGCAAATGATGGGCCTTGTCTAAACTTGTTCTTCAACAGACAGCTTTTCCACTACTTCTGATAACTTTCTTATCTAAATTCAAGTAAGTAGTACCTACCTAAATACATAAAGTCAAAAGTTAGTACTTTTATAGTAAAAGCGCTTATTAATAGAGTAATTACGAATTGTTTAAACTTTTATCGCACGAATTGCCATTTCAAAATGTTATTTACCGATCCGTATCGCAGAACAGAATATTTAATAGTCTTAATCAGTTGGCAATCATTAGAACTTACCTAGATACATTTTTTAAATCGCAAAATCAATAATTATCTACATCTGAGTCTCAAGGTGCGTAAAAAAGTGGTTTACTTTGTTTATTGTTGTAGCATTTTGTCTGTCTACTTTTCAGAAAGATTATTTCATAGTCGATTCAATGGAATTCATGCAAAAAGCTTTGCATACATTTTTTAGTTAGTCTGTGGACAGCTACATAATAGCGCCCTTCCCCCGCTTCAGCTTACTAACAATTATATTTTTATTTTATTATCTGTGGTTGCATTTATATGTCGTAAGTTATGTCATAATGATATGAAACTGGCAACAAATCTAGGTTATTTCTTTTGATTTTATGTAAACAGATAAGCGTGCATTTCAAAAATCCACAGACTGAAACGCTTACACTTTTCGGCTTTATTTTTCGGCCACGGGTATCTGTCTTCCCACCCGTTTGGAGTTTACATATTATGTACGTCAATATTAATAGGCAACACTTTTCACATTTAAAACTAAAAAGATGTTTAGCATGTTCACATCTATATGTAAATGATTAAAAGATATTGTTTTATATGATTATATAAATGGTCTGCACTTCTCGACATAGTCAGATTAATATCCTAATATAGGTTTTTGTAATAAATGTATTTTTTAAATATAGAACCGCTAAACACTACCACAATTAAATATATATATTTGTGATATATCACGATAAATAAACAAATAATTACTGGTTCTAATCGCCAAAAATGTAGTGTAAATTCGTGACAGACCCTGAAGTACACTTAATGACCTGCACTTAATCAAACATATCGTGTCAAGGTCGAATCTCTCACGATATTTGGACGAAAAATATTGGCTATCTATGCATCGGTCTAGAAATGAGTTATGATAAGGACTTGCTGTGTAAATGACAGTCGTATGTTTTCGTTTGATTCAATACTAATACCTCTTACTTATACTAGCTTTTTTACGCGTACCACACTCGCGTCTTCGTTTACGAAAACGTTAAACCTAAGTGCTTATTGATTATTGTCAAATTAAATAATACACTTATAACGGTTGATGACGCGAAATATTTACATTTACTTACAGATAAGAAGTTGATTAAACGTCGTGACTTGCCCAATTAAAGAAAGTAGTTCCCGGGATTCGAACCGTCTGACTGCCTGCGCATTGAACGCAATGCTAGTCGTTTTACCAAGAGGTAATTCGAACCTGCACGAAAACTCAAACAACTCGCTGTTCAACGAAACCAATAGCTACTCCGAATTTTTATACAAGTTATCGTAATTCGAAAATTTAAATGTTTTATTTGACATATTTGATTAAGGTAATAATTAAAATAAAAACGTAATGCGATTAATTTGTTTTACCGTTTTATTCGCGTTTTTCCTACATCCTCATTCATTGTCCTTAGATCTTACGAAATATCATTCTCTTAATCAAAGAAAAATAAAAAATAAAAAGTGGACGATTACCTATTATAAATAGATACAGTGATAGCGTGCCAGTTATCTAATTGCACTGAATACTGGTTTTACATAATAATTAATCAGATTCGTGATATTATAACGAGTCATTTAACTAGATTCATAATTTAGCTGTGGCAAAAAATTTATGTCAAATTTAATTTGAAGAAAATTCTTGCTGTATTCCTATTTTATCACGAGATAGAAGCTGTATCCTCTTACAAATAAATTGTCTATTACAACCAGTTTCGCTAGTGAGAGCGTACAATAATTTTTTACATTGATTTTAATTATTATTATTTATAGTGCAATGGATTAGATACGTTTTCTCCAATAAATGCTTTTCATATTTTCTTTTTTAACCATTTTTAAGCCAAAAGATCGTATCATCAGTCACTATTACTAGTTTAACACTATTTATGAAAACGAAGATTAAAATATGTAGGGATCAGAAAAATATATATGTACATTTAAATAGGAATTTAAATTTGGCTACTTTTTAGGTATTGAGTATCTGGCAATTTTTTTTACGGTACCTCTACACAAATTTACTTATTGTAACCGTTATGGGTACTAGTGGCATCGATTGCAACGTGACACGTCTGTGACAAATAAGGTGAACTTGCGACGAACGCATCTCGCAACACCGCGTTATGCAATTATTATCTGTCACCGTAAGATCCGATCAGTCAAGGTGAGCGAGGGTCGAGAGAAACTTTCCCCTGGCAAGGTCAATAAAAGAAACAACTATCGAAAATCTTATTTATTTTACAATAGCCGAGGAGGTCGCACGAGCACCACGGAACATTGTGCCAAAGATATACATAAAAACACCTCCTCCAAAGAGTAATAAATTAAAAAAGCGCAGATGAGAAAGTGTAGCGGGCGTGCGCGAGCGCAACGGACGCTATCGCTTTCCCTCACTATTACGTAACTAAATATAAAATCACAACAAAACTTAAAACATTACGAATCTTACGAAAGTACGGATGGCGCGACTGACTTAACGTATGACTTATTTTAATTGACGGTCTCGTGTGCGCTCGTGGCCGCTCGCAAACCGCGCACCGGCGCAGGCGCCACGCTGGGCGGCGCTTCCCGCTTCTCGCATTCCACATTGAGTCTACATTCGTTCGATGTCGACTTTGTTTTGTTCAAATTTTGTGCTCACAACTCTGACATACACGGATGAACAACTCGTCCACGGCGCGCGTCCCGGCCGCAATAAATACGCAGTAATAAATATTAATAAGTTACAAATTAAACGTAATAAATTAACGACTAACTAACCCTAGATGAGCGATCACATTCGTCGGCTCGACGACGTAGGTAACTTCACGGAAAGGAGACATTCTATACTTAAAACTAACACGCGTACACGACTTCCTCGTCGGACCTAGCGGGCATGACGTGAAAGGTGGTTATTCATTGCGATTAGAAAGGTGTCACGGTTGGCGGCCGCTTTCTAGCGCGAGTACAACGCGAGGTCCGAGATTCTGCGCTGGCGGGTCGCGGCGTGGAAGCCCCTGGTGCCGTCCGGGACCACGGGAGCCCGAGGTTCATAGCGGGGGGTGCAAGACAGTCTTCTGCCACCGCAATCGGTGCCTCCCGTCAATGAACAGCCAGAGAGCCTCCTCGACAGCCAGCCGTCAGTGCTGCTCGCGCTTCCTGTGCTCGCCTGTGAAGCGCGCCTTGACCCGCAGAAGAAAGACACCCCAGAATCAGAACTGTGGCTGCAGGTGGATTGCCGGCGAGGCACCCACGTTTGAATTTCAGGGGAACGCGGTGTGAAAAATCCGCTCGAATTCCTCCTATAGAACGGTGCAACGTATCTATAGTCAAACTCAGGTTCTGAGCCACTGCAGCACGATGAATATTCGCAATCGTGGCGCCGCGGTGCGGCACGGCGGACCGGTGTCTTCCGCTTCGGTTCCCTCGGAACTCCGTTCAATTCGTACACTTTCATCCCATCATCTTCAGAGCTCTGAAGCTTCAATGCACTCCTCGCAGCTTCCGATTCTGTGTACTCAACCAAAGCACACACGCAATTTACCAGACTGGGGTTTTTGTTCAAGAACTGGCGGACGTCGGCGGGCACCGGATTTCCAGGACGCAGAACTCTGACCAATGCGATTTCACCACAACCCGCGAATAACCTTGACACATTTTCCACTGAAGGGCGGTCTATCGGCATCTTGACGGCCACCACCGTCCTAGAGGGCGTCGTCTCATCGTACGCGGGAAGCGGATCGATCCTGCGTAACTTGGTCCCGGCCTCATTGATCTCCAATTTTGTAGACTTCTTCAAAGCTTCTGCGACGACTCGCCAATCTTTCGTGAGGTGTTTGACTCGTTTGAAACTTGATATTAACTTTAAGGAGACGTATCCTTCCTTGTTCCTGCGCACGTGCTTCAGCAGGAAGGCGTCCTTGGTGATATTGGCGTCCGAGAAGTAGAACTCCACCTGAGACGCGATTCGGTTGGCCAGTTCCTCATCGGGCGGGTTGTAGGGCGGTTCCTGAGGGTCGGGAGCGACTTCGCAGCCGGAATCCTTTCCGCCTCCCGAGCCGGCTTCGGAAGCGGTGTCGGAGAGGTCGGCGTTTTCGTCGGTGGACGGACGGCGGTCGGAAGCGATGCCTTCGTCGGGCTCGGGTACGCCCTGGCTAGGAGGTGTCCCCTCCATCTCTGTAGCGCGTGGAAGTACCACTATTGCATTAGAGGAGCGTGCGACTCACTCGATGGCGCGTAACGGACTGCGAGCGCGCGGCGCGTAAAAGCAACTTTTATAATATCGCATGGATGTGCGGTAAAAGGCGCCCGAACCAGAAGTGAGATGACATTGCAGACACCGCGACGCATGCGTCTTAATTACTTAACATGTGTCTCGCGTTCAGATTGGCCGTCGTTTGTTTAGCGTTTTGTGTAGCGAGGTCCCGCGCATTTCGGATGCACGATGAACATAACACGCGATCCTAGATCATTATCGCAATCGCGAATTTGTGTCACTGGATAGCGGATGCATTATCAATAGATAAATATTGCGCATACAATGATTTAAATGTCTATTATACGACGAGATAATGTAACATCCTTTTATTTATTCTGTAATTAGCAATAGAATAGCTATTTGTAATTATTATTTTATACTGTTGTTTTTATAAGCTCTTTTAGATGAAGGTTAAACTATACAAAGTCAATGTTTAATATGCATCTTACATAATTATAAACGCAATATTATAAAAAAACTCGTAAAGGTTTAAACGCAAAATCTATTAGTTAACTTTTTTTTCGTTCCTTAACTACGGCTGGGACGTGACAAGAGTCATATTTACATCTACTCCCGTAAACGACAGACAGTCTATAACATAACATCGAAAGCATACTCTTTAAAATTATTTGTCAGTAAAAAGAAAGTATACCCTATTTTGACATTTTCAGGACTTAATAGAAGAACAAGACCGGCAATAACAATTATTATATGAGCTAATTTTATTAAGTTAATGTGTTATGATTTACGTGTTATTGGACTATATAAATTAAAAAGTAATGAAAAAGACGATGACGTGTAATACCGTAGCGCAAGTGGTTAGAGCTACAGCACGAAACGCTGTGGATGCTGGTTCCAGTTCTGCCCGTGTCGTAAACTACTACAACTCATTAAAACTTACAAGGAATCCTTAAAAACGCTTTTAATTACAGACCTACTTTACTAATGTTCTTATCGGCGTGTCTGGGCTCTTCAACTAGGTTAAATTATTCAACCTTACCAATCGTTACTTGCTAATAAGTAGGTGGAAGAAGTCCGGCAAGTGTTGACGTTATAAAGTTGAAATTTGTTCGATGCATGCGTCTACACGTGGGCCGGTGCGGATTATATGACGCTCACACGCACTTTTCATGGAATATTACGCAGTTTAGAGTCATTTCAGGTGACACCTGACTTAGTCTAGCCATCTGAGAACGCTCTTATTTCAAACGTTGTTTTGCTAGCTGTGTTAGCGATTTCGTCCGCGTAGAATAAGATGGGTGGCATAATTAATTTAGCAAAGCCTCCTTCTCATCTTTATAAACTATCCCTGTTACCCACGACGTCGTTCGCGTCACGTAGTTCTTGCGAGTTAATCTTAAAAGATAGACTTAGTGTCGCGGCCATTTTTTAGATATAATAATTGTTTTACTCATGTTTTTTTGGGTATATTTAGCCGTCGCAATGCCCGCAACGGAAACTATCATCGCTGAATAATTTTACCCTTTTGATCCCCAATTCAATTCAATCAACTTGAACAGTTTAAATCGCGAAAAACTACAGACTGTGTTTAAACTGTACCTTAAACTGTTTTATGAAAGACACATGAGGTTTCCCGAAACTATATATTTGTGTGTGTCGTCATAATTATACATTATAATTAATCCTAATTATACCTGACATTGCAAGGTAGAGTGCGGCCAATGTGGAGTATAATAAAAAAAATACAGAGTGAATCATTGTTCAAAATGCATTATATATTTAAGCACATATCACGAAATGAGTTAATTTTACTATTTAATTTGTCATTTTTTTGTCATAGACAAGGACAGACAACCATGTGGTTCCCTAAATGGGACGAAATTTCTATATTCCTACTCCCATTTATTATCCAGATTTCCAGAAGTCCAACATGTTTCCAAAAAATTATAAATTAAAAAAATTTAAACATGTTGGACCCGGTGGGGTTCGCACCCACGACCCGTTGATTATTAGCCATACATTGATACCATTAGACAAACGAGCTTATCAAAACATCCAACCTTACGTCAAATATAGCCAATTCAATCTGCTTCAATATCTATTGTTCAGAGCACCGCCTCAGTCAGCTCTGTCTCCAAGCTACGAAACACGAAGCCCCGCGACATCACAGCTCAAATAAGATTAGCACAGCGAGCAGTCACCCCACGTTACGTAACGGCCGTAATACAATTTCATTGGATTATTGCCTAACTATGTGATACTTTAGGGATTTGATATGTGATACCGCTGTTCGTACAGCGATATGCTGACCGCAGATTTCAAGCGGTGGAAGTAATCGTTAAGTGAGGCCGCTAGAGGCAGAGTAGCCTAACTGCAATTTTATGACTTGAGTTATTTATATGTTCATAGTAACCGAAAGTCGGTAGCATAATTTTACACAAATAATAGTACAAATTTATTTTCACCGTTAAATGCACATTTTTATTTTTCCCCTTATTAAAAATCATGACTTTTAGTCCATAGGCCACTTTGCCTCTAGCAGCCTCATATAATAGAGACAAATTTTTAACTTAATAAACGCTGCTCCAAAACGTATACGAGCCAATTTGCACATTAAATATTGTCTGTATATCACACGAGTACACATTAAAATAAAACACCTTTACGGTTTAAAACGCGAAATATATTACTTAGTTAAATGTCACGATCACGGGGAGACCACGGCTCCTGCAAAGCATCCAAAACGTCGGGCGGTTGTAAAAATAACTTTTAAATATGTTTAACTTATATATTTCGAATTTTAAATTGTTAATGTGTATTATTTAAACTTTAAATTGTTAATGAAATTGGTAAAGTCTCTAATCGAAAAAAAAAAGACAGCTCATTTTTTTTTTTATGTTATATAGCTAGGTTATTTCAATTTCTTTTGCTTGTCCGTCATACTGGTCTACGAATATATTTATTTAAATTTTATTAAAAAAATATATTACACAACAGCACAGGTAGCCAGCAACAAGCAGCGCAGAACGCTGTAAACGATAACAGTTTGAGTCTCAATCGGGCATTAATTTTCACTGATGTGAATGTATTAAACTATTTTTTCCCGCAACTTGCTATAGGATTAATTGAAATCCATTATTTTTTATTGAACGCACATTAAAAAAATAAAATGGCATTTCAATGTAATCAATTCATTAACCTTTTCGCAAATATGGTGAGAGGTCGGTTCGTTCGCGGAATTACGGAAATTATCGACTCGCAACGGATATTTTTTTATCCTTATTCCATCTAATATATCCAGTTTAACTGTCTCCTTGGCCAAGTGGTTCGTGCACACGACTGCAGATCACGAAGTCCCGGGTTCGAGTTCACATTAAGAAAATTTACTTACGTGTTTCTCAGTATTATAATTAAGACTATATAATAAATTAAATGACAATAATAAGGAGAAATAAAAATTATCGGCTCCTAGACCACACCACCATTACATATTATTCGTAGCGTATTAAATAAAAAAAACAATTATTGCAATGCACACATTTTATATAAGAATTCTGATGTATATATATATATTATTTTGTTTAAATATACATACAAGAGAATTAAAATTAGACTAAACTAAAAATAACAACATATTCGATGGACCAATCCTATTTTACAATAAACACACACAAATCAAACCTCACATAATATTTAATTCTAAGTAGCAAAAAAAAACCCAACATCTTTAAAATGATGTGAAATAAAACGGGTGTAAATTACATTATGGATTTTAACAAAAACCTTATGGATATCCGTTCCGTTATTTTTAATTTAATTGAACTAGGCACACTTCTGCATGTTTTCTTTTTTAACTTCTTGTTTAGCAGTATAGATGTGTACTTATTTTTATTTCCGTTCCGTTCCATTTAGTTCGTCATTATCTAAGCATGAGCGCCACAGGTGAATGATTTGTTCGTGTTCGGCGAAAGGCGAATACCTTTCACTTTCCTATATGAGCTCGGAAGGGTTATGTTCAACCTTAAGCATGATTACTTCGAATGCCTTTAATGTCTTTGGTCCTGACCAAGATATAATGCTCGATAAAGAGCATACAGTACCAAGACAATGTTGTCCCTTACCTTACACAATTATGTTGTTCTTTATTCATATTAATATTAGGTTACTTACAAGTCCTTATATATTTAACATAATAATGTATGTAGGTGGGGGTTTAAACTAGTCTGTGATAGACGGGTCTTGAATCCAAACAGTATACCAAGCAACGAAGTGAAGTTTAATCGCGTTTTGTTCCAATCTGCGAACATCCGAATATCCAAAGCTAATTGGGTCTCCAGCGCATCTCGTTTAGATATTATATGGCTGAGGTATTTCTTCTATCGAATGAAATTCGTCCTCGTCTAGTCCTCTATCATAAGCACCTGAAATATAAACAAAGGCCGAGATTAAGATGTATTTCTAAGGAAATATTGTCGTTAGCACTATGCAACGGGTCATCAAACCTTGACCTTTGATTAATTTTTATTGTCAGAAACGTGAAAAAACTAGGTCGAACTTAGGCAACACTAAGACAACTCCGGACATCATTGCTAAATATTTTCGGTGAAAACGGAACAAAATGACGTCACACAACAATTAATAAATTACAAGTGATCGGATAGAGACGTATTGGTCTAAACCAGGGGTGAGCAACCTATTCACATAGGTACTCAAAGCAGAATTTTAAAACAAAACGCAATAAAAATGTGTTAAAATCACCTATAAATAAAAAAGTTTCTATTATTTTAGAACAAATAAATATTATAAACGGTAACAGAGGATATATTTGCACCTCGTAACTTATTGAACAGGATCCATAATAGACTAGAAATAAGTTATCTGATATTTTTCATGTTTTAAACCGTGAAAAATGTATTAGTTTCATTCAACCTTTGGTATATCTTCGAATGAGGATT